GTTTACTTAGTATTAGTAAATTAGTATTAGTAAATTAGTATTAGTAAATTTGGCTGAAAGACCAATTTAGGTCTTTCAGCCTTTTAGTAGATAGCTCCCTAATATCGTGGGCATTAGGGAGTTATCTACTTATTCATTCCTGTCATTACATTGACAGGCTAAGTAACTTACATTTTATATGAATGTATGTTACTTGATTGTTGTAAGTGTTACAAATGCTTACAGCTGAATCCTGGCTATGTGTTTGTATACTTTTTATTTAAAATTGTATACAATGTAACATTCTTCTTCTTTCACTGGGTAAGTATATTAGTAATTAGGCAATACTGTGCTTCGGAACTTGGGCAACTTCGGCAATTCGGTAATTTCAGAACTTCGGGACCTCTGTAATTCGGCACTTCGGCTATTCGGACATTCGGAAGTAGCCGAATGTCTGAATTTCCCGAAATTCGTCCGAATTCATATTCGGCCCAAAACGAATTGCACATGTCTACTGTGAAGATTTATCGCACAGTGCGCCTACAGACCTAAGGCAGGCCCTGACTTCAGAACAAGAACAATGTATCTTATTTACACAAACAGACACATTTATTGTAGTTTAAAGACACATTACTGGGAGTATTATTGTTGTGGAGCTCTGTTATGCAGTCAAATACATCAACAATATGGAGCTCTTAGAAAAGAGGGACTGAGGGATTAGGACCCAAAATGGGGACTGTCCCTCCTCAATAGAGACGCTTGGGAGGTATGTTTCAGGTGTTAGTTAGAGACAGTTTGCTAAATTCTGCATAATGCTTTATCATGCCCTTGGTGTATAAATATTTACACTTGTCCCAAGATCCTTTTCCTTTCTCATGCATATGCCTTGTGATAACACTTTCAGGACATACCAGCTTCCACCAAAAGGAAGAGAATAAAAAATACTGTGATTTACATAAAAATCAGATAAACATAAATGCCCTCTTTATGGCTAGCATTTTAGAATGTCCCTAGTATGCTGTCAATGACCTTCTACTGAATTATCATATCTCACTGATACATTTCATATTCAAATAACATTGACTTGCATTGGAATGATGTTTACCAAAGAAAAGTCGCTCTATACTCAGTGGCAGAACTAAAGTAGAGATGGCCCTGGTGAAATAATGTTTTGGAGACCCCTATGGCAAGGATGGAAAAAGGTACAACTCCCACAATACTTTGCCGGCTTGGGATCTACCATTCGTCCATCCTTCCAGGGTTGTACTTAACACTGAGCAGTGTTTTTATGTTTGACTGTAAGCATGTTTTTGTATGGAGTATGTGTATGTGAATGTAGGGATGCATTTGTGTATATTATTGTGTGCTTGTATGTACTGTTGCCATATGAAAGCAGTGGTTTACTTTTGTGTAGTGTTTGCCTTTGAATGCAGGGGTGTATTTGTGTGTAGTGTTGGAGTTTGAATGCATGTATGTTTGCACATACACATATACACTGTCTCACACACACAGGTACACACATCTGGATACTCGGACACATGGACACACGCAGAAACACATACAGACACACACACACAGATACACTGATACAGATACAGAAACACATACAAACACACAAACACAGAGATCCACATACATTCACTGACACACAGGTACAGACACAAATAGAGACACAGAGTTAGATACACCGACACAGAGATACACTGTCAAACAGATACAGACACACATTTTAAGCAACCCTATTTTTTCCTACCTTTTGGGTGCAGGAGGGTGGCTTCCCTGTGTTCCAATAAGTTGGCTGAGGCTGTTGGGAGTCACAGGCTCTTCCAATTCGTGCTCCCTCCTCTCTGCCTTCATCTCCCATGGGCCACCCATTGTGCTCTCTCAGCGTGCCGGCCCGTTCCAGCTGCACTGGCGGTAGTTCTGCCACTGTCAATACTAACAAGGGCTACATCATACTGATTTATGTCCTGTGACTGTGATATACAAGAGTTTTGTCCCCTTTCATTTACTTTATAAACATGCCTTACTATTTTTCTAACACAATCACATACCTCCAAACATTTGAAATGGACAAACAAGGACGCTTTGTGCCAGAGACGGGGAGACATTTTAGGCGCTTTACTAATACATTTTGCAACTAAATTGTATATTTTTTTTTAGGCACTCATAAAACATATATTGAAGTAAAGCAGCAGAATGACGAGAGAACGTACAGGCATCATAGTAAATCACTGATTGTCTTACACAGTGTGAGAATAACTGAAAAACAAACAAAAACCTTAATAAATTAATCCATTCTAGTAAAGGAATAGTTTATCTCTCTGTATCATTGTGTTAGTGTCAGTATTTTACATCCACGTGGAGACGCAAACAAAAAATGCTTCCTGCCATTAACTCCATGAGGGATTCTCATTTTATTTTATCCTTTAGATAAATTGGTAAATTAAATAATTATATCCAGCAAAGTAAACACCCTCCCACCCCCAATTTATGCCCTCCAGAATTGACAGACATGGAAGCAAAGTTCACAATTGTTCCCAATAAATAGTTACCAATATTTGATTTTTTTTTTCCTGAGAGGACAGATCAGCCCAGTAAACGGACTATACTGAACAGAGAGTTAAAGGGACACTATAGTCACCTGAACAACTTTAGCTTAACAAAGCAGTTTTGGTGTATAGAAAATGCCCCTGCAGCCTCACTGCTCAATCCTTTGCCATTTAGGAGTTAAATCCCTTTGTTTATGAACCCTAGTCACACCTCCTTGCATGTGATTTGCACAGCCTTCCATAAACACTTGAGATACAATTATTTAAGGTAAATTACATCTGTTTGAAAGTGAAACCAGTTTTTTTTTCATGCCGGCTCTGTCAATCATAGCCAGGGGAGGTGTGGCTAGGGCTGCATAAACAGAAACAAAGTGATTTAACTCCTAAATTACAGTGAATTGAGCAGTGAAATTGCAGGGGAATGATCTATACACTAAAACTGCTTTATTTAGCTAAAGTAATTTAGGTGACTAAAGTGTTCCTTTAATAGCGTTTCCCAATGTGAGAGTTTGTTTAAAGTTGCATAAACCTATTTGCAATGCAAGGAATATGAGAAGGGTTCCAAAATTGCAGTGAAGCTTTATTATTAACTGCAAAACCTGCAGGTATTTTCATTTACTACGAATGTAAAATAATGTATTGGGTATTTGTATAACAATTGTGCTGTAATAACAAGTCAGACAATGTTGCTAGCGTCTGCTGCTATAACCATTGCACTATTTCCCCTGCTACCATACAGCATTACACTGTTTATCTCGTTGCCATTCGCTACTGCAAATCCCACAATATTATTTACATATAATACGAACTGAACATTCATCTCCCCCTAGTATTATTTGCATATAATACAAGGTGACTACACTACCAAAATTTTTTACATACACTACTTTGCTTCCCATCTGTGTCTTGTAATACAATTCAAGGCATTAAAAACATTGTCACTGATTACATATTTAAAGGTACAATCTTGGAACTTCAGGATAAACAAACATTAAGGAGGGTCTGTCCCATGACATTTAGGATAGTTGGAAAAAGATGCCGAAAGCCTTGCTCCCCCCGAAGATTTTTTTGCTTTTATACACATGCTAAGATTTTATTAAAAAAAAAGTTAGGAGATAGTTTTTTTTTAAACTAACAAAGCTTTATTTTCAACAACAAAAATACAATTCTTACAGGGTCATATAGTCACCATAACCACTACAGCTTTAATGTAGTCTACAGCCTGTCTCCGCAGGCTTTTAAATGTAAACATTGCCTTTTTCAAAGAAAAATCAGTGTTTACATTGCTGCCTAGTAGCACCTCTAGGTTCAGTCATTCAGACGGCCACTAGAAGTATTTCGTAGTTCAGTGCTGCACAGCGTACAGCACCTACGTTCATTGCCTCCACGCTGTTCATGGAGGCATTGAACATTCCCCACAGAGATGTAATTGTGTCAGTGCATCTCCATGAGGAGATGCTGATTGGAGCAGCGTTTTTCCACACATGTGCAATAGCCTGTAAATGCTTTCCTATAAGAAAACATGGATTGGCTAGGAGCATCAAAATTCATCATCTCAGCCATGGAGGTGGGGCCAGCCATGGCACGACTGGCACAGCGTAGGAAAAAGTAAAAACTCTTTTACCTTGTAATCGGAGTGTCGGGTGGGCCGGTCCCCTAAACACACTCACTGGCACATGCGCACACACACAGACACTGATTTAATACACACAGACACACAGAGAATTGACATGGACTGCCCAAGTCACGTGTGCTGGGTTTGCAACTTGCCTCCAGCACCCAATTACAAATATCTCTGTATGTGCACTGTTTCAAACTGAAACACTGCACGTCCATATTCCTACCACCATGACCACTTCAAAAAGCAGAAGAGGTCATGGTGGTTGGAGTAACCTTCTAATGAAATACTTACCCTTTTCAAGATCTGAGTCTCCCTCATCACTGCTCACCTCTCCACCTTCCGCGACGCCACGTTGGAGGTACTGCACCCCCACACTTTTCATAGAGGGGTATTGGTGACCTAAATAGCATGTGACGTGTTCAAAATTCCCCATAGGAAAGCATCGAATCAATGCTCTCCTAAGGGGCTCCGCGTCACGGTCAGCCAGTTAGAGGTGACATTAACCCCGCAATGTAAACACTGCAGTCTCTAAAAAAGAAAAACTGAAATGGTCTGGCTGACTATAGTGTCCCTTTAAAGCTGGCTGGGAATGATGAGAAATACAATGTACAATCATATGAGGCAGAGAGAGGAGGGGAAGGGGGGAGTACCAAGGTCTGCTATCATTGCTTTAAGAAATTGATAAAACCTTTTTCTTCCCAAATATAGGTTAATCCTGGCAGCTTTACATCCTCCCCCAGCCCAGCCCTCCTGCAGGCCCAGGCCAATGGCAGACACAGAGCAGGAGGCTTCCTGTTTGCCTCCCACTCAGTGCAGCAGGAATTAGCATAGTGGTGGGAGCAGTCCCAGGGTAGTCCATGCTGGCTGGGAGTCCCTGCAGCCCCCCCACCCCCCCTTGGGCCCTGTGACCCGGAACCTGTCTGCAGCCCCGGGCTGGGAGCTCCTGGGGGAGACCTTTAACCAGCATGCCTGGCTGACCCCTTCCCCGGCCATGGCGAGCTGGTCCTGTTAGTACATCCCGCCGGGCGGATTGTAGGAGCGGCAGGCAGAGCTGGGGGAGCAGGATGGGGAACAGCACATCATGCTGCGTGTCCTCCAGCCCCAAAATCAGGAGGAATGCCCACTCCAGGCTGGAGAGCTACCGGCCCGAGCAGGACCTGAGCAGGGAGGACACCGGCTGCAACCTGCAGCACATCAGCGACCGGGAGTACATCGACGGTAAGGGGGGGCCGGGTATAAAATATACTGAGCAGAGAAAGGCAAGATTGGGGGGCTGCGGGTGGGGCTGCTGGTACCACGTATTGGGGAGGGGGGGGGGACCTTGCACTGAGGCTGGGGGCTGGTGATGGAATAAGGGACCTTGCACTGGGGCTGGTGGATGGAATAAGGGGGGGACCTTGCACCGAGGCTGGGAGCTATGATGGAATAAGGGGACCTTGCACTGAGGCTGGGGCTGGTGATGGAATAAGGGGACCTTGCACTGGGAGGCTGGGGCTGGTGATGGAATAAGGGGACCTTGGCACTGAGGCTGGGGGCTGGTGATGGAATAAGGGGGGACCTTGCACTGAGGCTGGGGGCTGGTGATGGAATAAGGGGGGACCTTGCACTGAGGCTGGGGGCTGGTGATGGAATAAGGGGGGACCTTGCACTGAGGCTGGGGGCTGGTGATGGAATAAGGGGGGGCCTTGCACTGGGGGGGGGGGGCTGGTGATGGAATAGGGGACCTTGCACACAAAGAGGCTGGGGGGCTGAGTGATGGAATAAGGGACCTTGCACTGAGGCTGGGGGCTGGTGATGGAATAAGGGGACCTTGCACTGAGGCTGAGGCTGGTGATGGAATAAGGGGAAACCTTGCACAGGGGGGCTGAGTGATGGAATAGGGGGACCTTGCACACTGAGGCTAGGGGCTGAGTGGTGGAATAAGGGAGTTGTGCTTGCACTGGGAGCTGAGTGGTGGGTCAGAGGGACCTTTAGCTGGGGGTTGTTGGTGGAATAAGGGGGACCTTGCACTGGGCTGGGGCTGAGTGGTGGAATAAGAGGGACCTTGCACTGAGGCTGGGGGCTAGTGGTGGAATAAGGGGACCTTGCACTGAGGCTGAGGCTGGTGGTGGAATAGAGGGACCTTGCACTGAGGCTGGGGGCTGGTGGTGGAATAAGGGGGACCTTACTGGGGCTGGGGGCTGGTGGTGGAATAAAGCGGGGACCTTAGCTGGGGCTGGGGGTTAGTGGTGGAATAAGGGGGGACCTGGGGCTGGGGGTTGGTGGTGGAATAAGGGGGACCTGGGGCTGAGGGTTGGTATTTGATGGAATAGGGGGACCTGGGGCTGGGAGGTTGGTGATGGAATAAGAGGGGGACCTGGGGCTGGGGTTGGTGATGGAATAAGGGGGACCTGGGGCTGGGGGTTGGTGATGGAATAAGGGGGGACCTTGCACTGAGGCTGGTGATGGAATAGGGAGGACCTTGCACTGAGGCTGGGGGCTGGTGATGGAATAGGGGGGACCTTGCACAGAGGCTGGGGGCTGGTGATGGATTAGGGGGAACCTTTCTGGGGGCTGGTGATGGAATAAGGGAGGACCTTGCACTGAGGCTGGTAATGGAATAAGGGGGGACCTTGCACTGAGGCTGGTGGCTGGTGATGGAATAAGTGGGAAGCTAGCACTGGGGAAGCTAGAAGATTGGGGGCTTTTGACAGGGTAGGAGGAAGTTGGATCTGAGATTAGGGGCTTTTGATTTGGGGTAGGGGGGAAACTAACACTAATACAGGGAGCTGTAGTACATTGATCTGAGGATGCAACTCTTAAGAGACCAACTAACATTAACATGGGGTGGGTGCTTTTAGAGAGGAATTGGCTGGTCATGGAGGGGGGCAGATTTTAATGAACAATTATACAGCCTGGTAATTTGGTCGGAGAGCAAAGCCTGGTCGAGCATCTGAGGAAATTGACAAAGTTTACATTTTTGGCCAATATAGCATTGTCGATGAAGCTCTTTAGTTGGTTCTGCAATGGCTTACAATCTGTATTGCATTAATTTTGGCGCTCTGCCTCCCTGGCTTGTGTCCTGCATGGTGCTCCGTAAATCTTGGCACTACATTTCCCATCATTCCCAGCCTGCCTTCAAATTCTCTGAGCGCAATGCAAATGTAGCTTATCCCCATCTAGGGTGCCAAGGTTAAGCCATGATTGGCCTGCATCCTAGCTGCACTGTTGAAAGGATTGAGTCTGTTTGATATTCCTTGCTATCCATTCCTTGGCTGATCTTCCCATGCAGCTGTTTGTGGTCCCCCTCATACTTGACAGTACACATTAAAATAGTCTTCCAAATCTTGTACAAGCGATGGTACCTGTACAGCCTGACAGTGTATATGGTATTTATCCTAGTCACATTATTGACCCTTCTGTTCTGTGGGATTGTTTTGGTATCTCTCTATTTGCATCTATGTTTTAATATCATTATACCTTCGTTTGTTTGTGTGTTTTAGAACTACTGTCTGTACAAAGCACGATTTGTGTGTAACAATCATTACATTTGAGAACGATGTACTCTTCTGACCTGTTATCTCAGGGGTTTATCTGCCAACCTTCAATTGTGGAGATTTGATAAGGCGATCGCATATTTCAGGCCAAAACAGCCACATTGTAAAATCTCTTAAACTCCACTATTTTGGCCCACATTTGGCACACTGTTTGTAGTTTAGTAAATTATGTATATATCCATGTGCTTAGATACTCTTTACCAATTTTTACATTTTGAGGTTTGCGTCTGCCCAGTTGAAGCCGGTTTCAGAATCTAAAGTCGTCTAGGTTTTTGTGACCTGCAAAAATTTGCTTTGGAGATTAAATTAGTTGACATTTGGCATATATCCATCAATGCTATAAATCCTTAGTCTGCAGAATGGCTTGTGTTCAATGTCATAAATGGGAGCATAAAATATTACATCATACCACTTCTAATAGTGTAATATTTCTTAGAGCAGAACAAACCGGGTAAATTGGAGTGTTTCTGAATATCCGTGTGGGGAATCAGTGTATACGTAATTAAATTGTTTTATGTTCTTTTTTTTTTTTTTACTCTTTTGTCCATTGGTTACATTTTCATCTACTTTCAATAAATCAGTCTGCTGATCCCTGCTGCAAATACACATTTTTTTTTTTTCTTCTTGTAGCCAAATAAATTAAGCTGTAGGGGTGTTTGGTTTTGAACCCAAGCCAAAATTGTAATGAAATATATCAGAGTGATGGCTGTTTATGTTATATCTAAAGTAACTGCATTGCTGAGATTTCTCAATCTTATTGTGTGTCATTTATGATGCTCTGTAGATCCCCTTTTCGGTGTGAATTTTGTGTATATTCCCAGAAAATAATGATGAACTAGTTTAAAGGGACACTATAGTCACCAGAACAACTACAGCTTATTGAATTTGTTCTGGTGAGTAGAATCATTACCTTCAGGCTTTTTGCTGTAAACACTGTCTTTTCAGAGAAAATGCAGTGTTTTCATTACAGCCAAAGGATAACTTCACTGGCCACTCCTTAGATGGCTGTTAGAGATCCTTCCTGGATCATGGCTGCCTAAAATGCATCCAAACATTCAGTGTCTCCTCCCTCTGCATGCAGACACTGAACTTTCCTCATAGAGATTCATTGATTCAATTCATCTCTATGAGGAGATGCTGATTGGCCAGGGCTGTGTTTGAATTGTGCTGGCTCTGCCCCTGATCTGCCTCCTTATCAGTCTCAGCCAATCCTATGGGTAAGCATTGTGATAGGATCAGGCCACCACTTCTAATGATGTCAGCAGACTGCTTGTTTTTCTGCGTCTAACAGCATGCAGAGTTACAGCTATAGGCTTGAATACAGTAAGATGTTGCTATATTTATGGAGGCATTAGGGACCCAGGGGGGCTAGATGGTGGTGTTAACACTATAGGGTCAGGAATACATGTTTGTGTTCATGACCCTATAGTGATCCTTTAAAAAGGGACTTTATGCTACTAAAATCAAAAGGGCTTATACTGTCTTTTATTTATAAACTGTGAGAAGCTTATTCATATTGTATTGAAACTATTGACACAATTAACAATATGCCCTTGAAAATTATGGCAGAATGTATTTCTTTGTAGCTGATTTATAAGAAACGACTTAATGAAAAGAATGCTCATTATGTGGTTTTGCTATCTATACCTCAATTTGTAATTTAGCTAAATTTCCTGTGCTAGATATAGGCATGTCTGTCTCAGGTGGGGGAACAAGCCACTTAATTAAAACATACCATCTAATTCCCAGCACAATATCTGCTTTCTATGTCGTTTTCATTAAAAAAAAAAAAAAAAAGGTAATTTTTTTTTTTCTTGCAATTTTGATATGACCAGTTGTGAGAGGTTATTAAATGGAACTTGGGGATAATTTAAAGGATTATATTGTGGGTTTTATGGATCTCTAAAAATGGCCGGATGTTGGGTTGCCTTTTAATGTTAAGGTTTGACATTTCATGTTTAAACTATTATTCCTCTGATCTTCAGCCAGAATAAGTTTTGTCATGGACTGTGTAATGATCTGTTGGCTGTATATCCTGATGATGGACCTGTTAATCTTCGAGACAATCCATCACCTTCAACTGTCCATAAGACTATGTAATGTCACTGTTGCTGTTTGGAACTCTGACAATCAGGCATTGGTCTTTCTTTCTCATGTTTTTTACCCTCCGACACACAGTGCCTCTCAACATAATTATGTTGGTGAATAAAAACCATCTCAAGTCTGTCTTGTATAGAATTGTGGGCTCAGGCTGCCTCCTTATGGAATGGCAGCATTTGAGTGAACTACTTCACGTTTACAACTGGGTTCAGTAAATGTTGTTGTTGTTATTATAATAATAATAAATTGTGAGTTTTATAGTGCTTTTCTCCCTGTGAGTCTCAAAGCACTTTACAAGTATACAAATCTAAAGACCTAAAAGTTAGGAGTTTCTGAAGGTCAGCTGAGCAGACTGAATGCCTGATGGAAGAGGTGGGTCTTTAGCTTTTTTTTTTTTAAACAGTCTGTAATGACGGTGCCTCTCTGATTGCGCACGGTAGGGAGTTCCAGAAGGTAGGGGCAGCGTGGCTGAATGCAATGGAACCTGAGTCTGTCTTTATTCTTGGCACTGACAGGAGGGTTTTGCTGGCTAACCGAAGTGAGTGGGATGGAATGTAGGGTGTCAGGAGCTCTTTCAGGTACTGTGGGCCTTTATTGTTTAAGGCTTTGAAGGTCAGGAGGCCAATTTTAAAATATGTTCGCCATTTAATTGGAAGCCAGTGTAGGGAGTGGAGAAGAGGTGTTCTGTGGCAGGAGTGAGTTTGATTGGTTAGTAGTCTGCTGCAGCATTTTGTACCGTCTGAAGGCGATGGAGTTCTTTTTTTGGGAGGCCCAAGTAAAGTACATTGCAGTAATCTAGCCGAGAGGATACAAATGCATGGATTAATGTTGACATATCATCCGGTGGAATTAAGTGTTGTATCCTGGCTATGTTTTTCAGATGAAAGTAGGCAGATTTTATTATGGAGGAAATCTGCTGTTTAAATGATACTCCAGCACTCCGAGGTTTCGTACCTTTGAACTGATGAGTCCAGAGCCTCCAGGCCAGTTGAGTGGTCGTGGGATATTTTTCTTGCCTGGGAACCCTCTCCAAGAGTAACTCCGTTTTGTTATGACCCTGGCAGTCAAGGCATTCCATAGCACAATTCCCAGGATTTGGTACCTTGGTCAACAGAAGTCTAACTCATCGTAAGCTTAGAGGGTTACTCCAAACACCACGACTACTTCAGTGAATTGAAGTGGTCGTGGTGCCTGGAGTAAATGTATGCAGCATTTCAGTAGGAAACACTGCACATAACATCTTTGCTGAAGGAGTTGTAACTCCAGCTCCTGCAGGGTCATTGGGACGTTGTTGGCCAGCCTAGAAGAATGCTAATGGTTAAAGTCAGTTTTGTGCAAATTTGCACGCACATTATATCATTCATTGACTGAGAACAATCAGCTGAAATTCTCAGCCAATGAATGGAGATTGTATTGGCTTCTAACTTCTGTAGCTTTGCAGAGGCAATACGTGTATAGTCCTGCAGTAGAGGAGCCTTGGATCCTGACGAGGATAAACGGTTATTAAACAATTTTCCCTGTTACCAGTGAACCAGGCCTGGGCACTGCTCCTCACATCATAACATTTACAGATGGCTGTGGTGGTTACGACGCTTGGAGTAATCCTTGAACCTTCGCTTAGGTCTCTAAACCAGCTGTACCATCTTGTAACATGGTATAGAATGCCCTGAATTTGTTTCTGTTTGAGGTAGAAACAACATTACTTTGAATGTAAATGTATACTATTAGGCAAACTTTATTTATTATTTTTTTTCTTTAACACATCTTTAAACCTCTATTGAACGTTTTCACTGTTCGTTGCTCCCGTTTTTATATGTAAATCCCTCTAATCGTTATGTAGACCATTTTTTTTTTTTTAAATATTCAGTGTGTTTCATTCTGATTATTGTCCATGATAATTTGTAATCTCGTTGTATAGTGTTTGCTCGTCTTGATACTTGTTCCCGTTAGTTCTACATGCGCGGGTTCGTATTGAGATGGAAATGAATGTAATATAGCCAGGGAGATGGATAAAGACTTGTAAGTCATTCTTCTGTCTTCAGATAATGCGGTGGAGGAGAATGAAATAGCTAATTGTGTGACACCTGCGCTGTGTTCATTTTGCTGTAATCAGTCTTGGCAGGGATCCATTTTCCTGGTTCTCACTGCTGTCACTTTCTCCTCCCTGCAAGTAATGTATTGCCACAGTGCTGGTAATGAAGGGGTTACGCTGAGGCACTTGAGTCCCCTTTGACTATGTTGCAACATTTATTAGAGCAGGGGTTCACAAACTTACCCATAACAGAATGCTGAGAAAGTTTGACTTGTATAAGAGCCCCTGTGACTGCCTACTTACAGGCATGGAGGGAAGTATCTATATATTTTTTTTAATTTATTTTGGTAGTCACTTTCTCATAAACACTATATTGGGCTTGAAAACCTTAAGGCTTTGAAGGCACAAAGGAGCACAGACTTTTTTTTTTTTTTTAAAGAGTGATGTGGATAGTAGTGTAGTAGTGGGAGTTGTTGAGATTTTTTAGGACAAATTACAAACTTTCTTCACATTTTCCAGTTTAGCAAATTACCACTTAGGTTCTGGGCATATTGGTAGTTACTGCTGAATTATGTTTTTAAGTGCCCATATTGTAAGATTACATTTAATAGCTCTTCGTTCTCATAGTTTTGTTCATCTGAAGGCCTGAAATCAATTGCAGTAGGAAAAATACAGGGATTTTTGAAATTTCTATAAATGTTGCAGATATAGTGCATTTAGAAGTGAATGTTGTACAGTCCTCGTGGGTATAAATTATGCATACGGATCATGGCTAAATAAAAAATATTTAATGGTTTATTCCTTAAACTAAGAATTGTTGAGAATTGGCAAACAATGGGGCGGGGGGAAAAAACCCAAAACAATCAGCCAAAATCAGTGTGGCTTACCAGTGTGGCTTATTTTGCACTAAAACCTGTGATTCCCTTGTCTGTAATACGAGATTCCTCGTTTAGTGAACAGATCCTTATTGTATCTGCTTGTCTTTCCCCCTTGTGAGGATCATGTGAGTCTCCACCAAGGTCATGTTAAATTTAGAAAACCGCCCTTCTCGATGGCATGACCTGTGCCCTTGGTGCCCGTGGAGGGGTATTCGATTAATGCTTATTGTTCTGTGTCTGTCTAGGCTCTGGTGCTCTCCCTTGCCATGTTGTCTCCAAAATAATGAGGTTTTGTTTGCTCAAGACCTTGGCTTTTCACTATCTCTTGAGTGCTGAGCAGCAATACTGTACATCTGTTTTCGACAAAGCACTTGACACACTATAGTGCCAGCATGTAATTTTTATTTGAAGATCTTTTCGCCTGCTATTTTTTTTTATTTATTTTTTGGAACGTGAAGTGCTGAACAGAGATGTATTTTTTTTTTTTTTTTTAAATAACATAAACAGTAATTCCACATTAATTTCTGGTTTCTCTGTGAATGATTGTTTTTTTTGGAAGAAAGATGCCAGTTTTAAGATGCAATTCACAAGTTCAGGTTTGTATTTAGAATAACCAGCTGTATGCATCTCGAGAAAGGCAGCTGCATGTCTTTTTTTTTTTTTTTTGTTCTTTCCTAAAGAGTCTCCTGCATTTGCAATGATAATTTGAGATCCTCCCACTCTGATTTCTGTTTTATCACATCTAAGCATTCCGTATGAAACTAAGAAATAGGAAAATTATTCTCCAATCATGAAAAGAAAACGGACTGAAAATATCTAGTAGGATGTTATGACTTGATTTTAATATCATCTTCTTACAGGGACGTAAAAGGAGACGAGAAAACAGCTTCTTGTGCCATAAACAAAAGTACAAAGATGCATGCGTTGTCCCTTTAAACTAGAAATCTGCTTTTCTCTGGAAAGCCTTACCCTGAGGATAAGATTATAATGACAATTCTATATCTGTAACTGAAAGCAGGTGACAATGAGTTGTGTAGCTGACAGATTAAATAAATATCTGTAGAGGTCTTAAAATCGAGAAAAAATAAATCTAAAAAAAATCTACTTTTGATTTAAGTAGCTGTAGAGAGATTGCCGAAGGGTATTTTAGAAACCATTTTCACCATGATTCTTCATTTTCCATATGATGAATAGGATGACATGAGACCTAAATGAAGATGTAACTGTACTTTCATGCTTGTCTGTTACATTGGTTTTGATGATTTCTGTACCCCGAGCTGGCTTTCAGCATTGGGTGTCCACTAATAAATGGCCTGCTTTTTTTTTTTTTTTTTTTTTTTTCTTTAGATTAGAATCGTCATTTGGTGAAATAGTCTAAACCAAAACCTGCTCACACAAAGATCACAGGCCTGCATGGTAGCTGCTGTCCCATACTTCCAGACACAAGCGTGCGCACCTACAACTGCACTCTCCTTTTCCATGCGCACACACAAGCTACACTCCCTCCTCTCTTCCATCTCCTGTAGAATGATTGTGGTTTTGGAGGTTGCTTTCCAACACAATGTGCAGCCACATCACCAGTTCTGGCTGTAGCTTTACTAATGAGGAAGGCTCAAGCATACAGCAGAGGTATGCACTTGCGTCCCTGGTGGCCAGTCTCTTCATACACATTATTGAACCACTAAAGGCATCCACACCACTTGATCTCAGTGTGGTGGTGTGGGTGCAGTGGTCCTGTAGTTTTAACACTGCAATCTAAAGAATTGCAGTTTAGTAGGTACATTGCAGGGTTAAACAGGCTTCATGTGGCTATAATTATTATTATTATTATTTATACAGTGCCGGCAAACTCTGCAGTGCTGTACAATGGGTGGTCTAACAAACACATAATTCCTGACACACTAGAGTCGATTCTGCTGTAAGAACCAGGTCAATCTCGATTGTCACAGCTAACCTCCATTTAGAGAGCTGCTGACCACACACGTGCTTTTTGTACCCAATCAGGGGGTGACAACCATAACGGTTGTCACTGGCCCGGCCCATCGGGTGGCCCACACACTTAGGGCCACCCGGTGGGCCCTATATCTTCAGGGGCCCGGTCAGCGCTGTGGCCGTGGTATAGCGTGACAGGGCCCCTTTAAAAAAAAAAAAAAAAAACAGCCGCAAGTGCTGGTCACTTCCTCCCAGCTCACTCCACGCGGGAAGAGCGCGCGCACCAGAAAAGAGAGCCAGGCAGTGATGAGGGAGCCGCGCCGACTCCCATTAGCTCCAGCCACCCTCCTGCAAAGAAAAGGTAAGAGACAGGAGGGTGGCTGGGAAACGAGCTGTCTGTGTATGTATGTGTGTGTGTGTGTGTGTGTATGCATGTCTGTGTGTGTATGTATGTATGCATGTCTGTGTGTGTATGTCTATGTATGTATATCTGTCTGGATGTCATTATATATGTATGTCTGGATGTCTGCATATCATTATGAACGTATGTCTGTATGCCATTATAAATGTATGTGTGTATGCATGCATGCATGTATGTCTGTATGCCATTATAAATGTATGTAAGTGTATGTATGTCGGGGTGTGTGTGTGTGTGTGTGTATGTGTCTTTATGTCCTCATGCAGGTGTGTATGTTAGTATGTGTCTGTCACTATGTATGCCTGTGTGTATGTTAGTATGTGTCTGTCACTATGTATGCCTGTGTGTATGTCTCAGTATGTATGCATGTATGTCTGCTTCAGTATGTGTGTCTGTTTAGTATGTATCTGTGTCCTTTTGTATCAGTGTGTGTGTTTGTGTCTGTCTGTGTGTGTATTCCTGTGGGCGGTATTTGGAGGCGGACCCAGTGGGCGGTATTTGGAGGCGGGCCCAGACCCTGAGCTGAGTTAGGAGCCCCAATATTTCTGGTGGCGGCCCTGTACCCAATGCTCATCTATGAGAGGCGTTGGATTGGACCAAAGAGGAAGTATCTGCGTGACATCGCAAAAGACTGAACGAGTGGTTGCAGGAACTGGATCTCTGTGCTAGAAAAAGAAAGACAGGCCTCAATATCTTGTCCTATGTATCGACACTGCATTTGCCTCAGAGGCCTGTCCCTATGTAATGGACAGGAATGAATAAACATTACTTTGATGAATTTGTGGGTGGGGGAAACATGATAATGGTTACATTTTTTTCAGTATTGTTAGTTTTTAAAATTGTACTATACACTGGATTAACACAGTTAAAGTGATAACTAAATCACTATAACTTTCTATGTGCGTTGGATAGGTTATGGTGGAAGATGTTCTCCTGCCCCGTCTGCTTTCATTCTGTTAACGTTACAGCAATTTGTAAACATCACTGCTGTTTTAAACCATCGACTTAGAATACGTAGACGCCGCATTGCGTGCTGAGCGGCGAGAAATGCGGGTGCCGTCTTGGACCTGTCGCCGCTGTACTCAAGCTATTGAGGAACACTTGGAAAGTCCATCTCACAAAAGGTAAGTGAAGGACTTGGGGCACTTGTAGTCCTTAATACCCTTACCCCTGCATACACACTGTTAATACCCCTATCCCTGCACACATAGTGTTAATACCCCTATCCACTATGTGTGCAGGGATAGGGGTATTAACAGTGTGTATGCAGGGGTAGGGGTATTAAGGATTATAAGTGCCCCAAGTCCTTCACTTACCTTTTGTGAGATGGACTTTCCAAGTGTTCAATAGCTTGAGTAGAGCGGCGACCGGTTCAAGATGGCGCCCGCATTTCTTGCCGCTCAGCACGCAATGCCATTGACGTGCGGCGTCTATGTATTCTATGTCTACGTTATAAACCTCTACCCAGTCACCTTATCACCACTGTAACTGATGTAACATGCTTAGTGTGTGTTGGGCCACAGTTTTATTGGTTCTCAAAGCTGTTTATTAGATGTAACAGTCAAATACAGTATAACGGACACGGAGGTCCTGGCAAAATCTGAATGATCAACATTTAAACAGTGGTATACTATCATACAGGAATTTAGAGTAAATGTGTACAACAAGCGAGATTAGTCAGGAGGATGCTCGGGTTGCGATTTATAAATTGTCATACTTATGGGCTGTATGCTGAATTCGACTTATTTGAGGTGTTCATAATAACTTTTTAAGCATAAGACTTTGCTTCATGGGGGATATGCAGGTTATTAAAGGACGTGGGTGCTCAGGGTGTGCTTAGGTGAGCTGTCTTGTTGGTCAAATGTCTTATTGTGTCCAGTGGAGTTATTAGAGGGTGTCTCCGCCCTAGCTTATTGGGTAATATGTGTTTGTCTGATTCCTTCGGGGCGGTCCATCATTAAGGTCTGTTTTTGTCCGGGGAGATCATCTTATGTCTCTGGGGTGTCTGTCCCCATAGTGTTCCTCAAGTAATTCGATGTCTTTGCTGTGTAGTTACCTTTTAATATCCCCTTGTCGCCTGCAGGTCTCATCCCTGATGAGATGGTGAAGGTTATCTGACCTACTTTGGAGGTCATTAGCTGTTTACGTGTTTTCCCTGTTTGTGTTTCGTGATGTTATGGTTGAGGTGTTCGCCCCTAGACAGATGTTTGACTGTGAATATGTAGTGTATCCGTTGGTAACCTCGAGTTGAGTTGGACTGCATCTGTTATTCAGTCAGCTTATATATCATCGTTGGAGAACTTGGATGAAAGAGAGATAAGAAAAGTAAAGAGGGGGGACAGAGGAAGAGGCTAAAGAAAGGGTGGGTAGGGGGGTGTAGTGGGTTAGGGGATCCCATTGCCTGTGTCTGTGGTTACCATGACTGTCGTATTGGGTCTCATTCTCCATCCGGGAGGGGGCGCTGTGTTCCTGGGTCTGCTGGCATTCATTCCTGTCCGTGTTTCGGTCTGCTATATAGAGCAGCCAGGGGCGCCATCTCTCCACATGTTTGTCCTCAAGACCCATTAGGGCGGCCTGTGTTGATTCTGCACTATATATCTCTTCCACCCGCTCCATCCATTGTCCTATTGTTGGGATAGCTGTCTGTTTCCAGTATAGTGCTTTGGCAGCGTTTAACAGGTGTCAATGAATGTTTTTCCGATATGCCCCTATGGTGTCTGGTGTGGAGTGCAAGAGAGCTGCCCTGCGTCAAGATTTTCGTCCGTCCCTAAGATGTCCTCTGTTTTCTGTTTTACTTCTTCACAAAATGGCGTAATGAGTGGGCATTCCCACCATATGTGTAGTGGTGTACCTCGCTCTTCTCCACATCTCCAGCATGTGTCAGGTACATTTGGAAAGATCCTGTGTAGGCTATCAGGTGTTCTGTACCAAAATGAGAGAAGTTTGTAGTTTGTTTCTTGGTATTGGGAACTCGACGAGCATTTATGGTGCAGTATGAGGACCTTATCCCATTGGGCCGTGGTGAAGGATGTGCCCAACATGCGTTCCCAGCGTCTGCGGAATTGGTCGTTGTTGGTAAGGTGTCCCACTAGCATGTGTTGGTATAGACTGGATACCATCTTATCTAGGGTATTCTTGTGTTCGCAGAGCGTTTCGAACCACGATAGGTCCCTATGTAGGGCTTCCTTGTTCGGGAGTGTCTGATAGTAGGACCTGAGTTGCATATAACAAAAGGTTTGTAGGCTAGTGGGTTGGTTGCCCGCCAGCAGTTCCCTCAGGGGGGTCATGCGCGCGTTGTTTAGTACCCTGTGGATGAGGAATGATTCCCCCTCTCCAAGGAAAGTCCACAATGTCGGGGGCAGTCCTCCTCCTATCTGAGGGTTATGTTGTACTTGAATCATCGTGCTTGGTGTTGGAGATACATGTGGAGCTCTTCTGATAGTATCCCATGCTTTCATTGTCTGCGCTACGGTAGAAGTTGGTTCAAGTATCACCCGTGGTAGTCTCTTTGAATTCCACACTGACGTCAGAAAGGAGGGGCCAATATGGCTTTTATCTAGGTCGATCCATTGTTTGTGTGCTGGTTGAGTATGCCACTCCAGTACCCGTTGTAGTACTGTCGCCGGATGGTATTTGCGCAAATCAGGGAGCACTAGTCCCCCCCCATGCTCGCGGAAAACGTAGAACCTCCTGTCGGAGCCTTGCCTGTTTCCCATTCCAGACGAACGTCACCATCGCGGATCTGAGTGACGTGAAGTATGCTGTTGGCAGAGCTTGTGGGATCGTCTGGTATAGATATAATATCCGCGGTAGTATATTCATCTTGAGGATTGCAATCCGGCTGAACCATGATATGTGGGGCTACGCCCATGTCTTCAGATCTTGTTGTACTCGTTGCAGCAGTGGTAAGAAGTTCGTTCGGTACATGTCTCCCAGATCTCTGGTTAGTGCTATTCCCAGATATTGCATGTGATTCGCGCACCAACAGAACGGTATTTGTTTTTTTAATGCGTCTGCTTGGGCCGTCGGGACCGTAACGTTAAGTACTTCGCATTTGTTCATATTCAGTTTGAACCCCGAGACCTCCCCGTAGTTATTAAGCATAGTTATCAGGTGGGGCATTGTTGTCTCTGGGTTTGTGATAAAGAATAAAAGGGGCCACAGTTTTAAGTAGCATACAAATCCCAAATACCTAGAACTGGCTTTCTCATTTGTTGTTGTATACGAGAGCTTGGATATGTATTTACACTGTTGTAAAATTAGAAAAAATATTTTAATTACAAAGCCTCCTTTTTTTAAATGTAATTTTTTTTTTTTTTTTTTTATACACACTTTGCTCTCTACAGTGTATTTCCATCCCCTTTAACCTCCTATATACATGGAGACGAAGGTAAATCCATATTTTCCAAATAAGGGATTTGTGCATACATGTGAAAAATCAATGAATTAATTTTATATCAGTCAAAGTGCACCTAATAGATTAAGAGGAATGGAAATACAGTGCGTAGAAATTAAAGAGGAACTTTTATTTATCACAATATTTTAAGATTATGTTTAATAGTTCCCTATATTGAATAGCATGAAATAATTTTAAAAGGTTTATCCAATATGTATTCGTGAAGTCAGCATAAAGAGAGGAGAAATTAAACATTGTTTATTGTTGCTTCTCAATACAGAAACATAGAAACATAGAATGTGACGGCAGATAAGAACCATTCGGCCCATCTAGTCTGCCCAATTTTCTCAATAGTTTCATTAGTCCCTGGCCTTATCTTACAGTTAGGATAGCCTTATGCCTATCCCACGCATGCTTAAACTCCTTTACTGTGTTAACCTCTACCACTTCAGCTGGAAGGCTATGCCATGCATCCACTACCCTCTCAGTAAAGTAATACTTCCAGATATTATTTTTAAACCTTTGTCCCTCTAATTTAAGACTGTGTCCTCTTGTTCTGGTAGTTTTTCTTCTTTTAAATATAGTCTCCTCCTTTACTGTGTTGATTCCCTTTATGTATTTAAATGTTTGTTTCATATCCCCCCTTTCTCGTCTTTCCTCCATAAAATCAGTTTATCTTGCGTTGGCTGGGAATCGAACCCTGGTCAACTGCTTGGAAGGCAGCTATGCTCTCCACTATACCACCAATGCACTATGTGCCCTAACTGTGTCATGACTGACCTGGTTTGTACTATACAAATATATACACCTTACAAATACATGACGTATAGATGCAAACAGAGTAGAAATGGTTCTCCCCCACGGTCATTTTCTATGTGTTAAAACAAAGCCAGGTAGTTACAATGTCTAATCACTGTTTCAGGTAAATTTGTAGTACGATAAAATTACGCATGGATGCCAGGCGTACTAAAGTTTCTCGATCATTTTGTAGAAACATGTATTTAAATGCTCTGAAAAATGTAAAACGGGCTTCATCTGTTCCAGACCAAGGGTAGCATTAGCAGAAATGATCGCAGGTTAATTGGCATCCCACCTTTAGCTTTTATAGCGGCAATTCAGTTTTTTCCACTGCTTACAGAATAATTACATGTCAAGTTATTTCTAAAGATATTTTATTTTAGCATATGTGTGTGGGGTACAAATCACATTTCCAGCATTGTTGTCTCTCTGCGAGATCGTATCACATCTATTTTTAATTTTAAAATATCTATTATCCTGTTTTTTATCCAGAAACCCCCTACCATTTTAGCATAACAGGGGATAGGCGACTCACCTGGTTTTTGCATTAAAAGTAGGACAGCTTCCCTTGGTCACCCAGGGAGCATAGTGACGGTGACAGAATACTAAACAAATTGCCATCAGCGAGAGCTTAAATGATTATGTTGGTAAAACCCCTGAAAGGTTGTCTGCTAACCCGCGTGCATTGAATGCTTGGTCTCTTGGGTAAACTAACTTTTTTTTTGGATTATGCAATAATACACACTGTAAAAAACTGCGGATTTATTTTACTGTAAAATCAATGGAATCCCATTTTATTTCTTAACATGCATTTATTTTTGGCCTTCTGTGAATTCAACACGTGTGTCCAGAAGGCTGTTTTTGTTTGAAAGTTAGGATAACACAAACCACACACACACTGATAACAGCAGCTGAGCAGAGAGCTCCAAGGCTGTGATGTCCAGCCGTGGTTCCTCAGTTGATCCTGAATTGCATTTCTAATGGTTCAGAAATAGGGGACAAGAATGTAAATAATCATATATAAGCATAGCTGACGTCAGGGACATCTATCGAGCCTTGGCACACTGGATGTGTTTGAACTTGCCTTCAGGCTAGCTGAGAATCATGGGACATGGCTTCTCTGATTTATAAATACTAAGGCTGTCATTGTTTTGAAGATCTGTAGTTAGTATCTTTCATCGTTTTTATGGTGTACAGCAATTCTTGGTTGGTTGAGCAGCATGAGAGTTGTGGAAGATATTGATAGTCACTCGGAAAGCTGAAGGTTAACCACCTCTGATTAGATTATAATTATTGAAATCTAAAATTTAATGAAAGGGACACTATAGTCTCCAACACAACTTTGGCTTAATGAAGCAGTTTTGGTGTGTAGATCATGCCCAATACTCTATTCTATTCCATGTAAGATTTAAATTACTTTATTTATACAGCCCTAGTCACACCTTCCTACAGGTGACTTTTGCTTGCTGTAAAGTGAGATGTAACTTCCTTTATTGCACAGTCTGTTTAATTTAGAATTTCACACCCCTCCAACCCTCCCCGGCGGCATCCATTTTCTGAAATTTTACTTTCAGGAAACGTGGAGTGCCGCCAGGAAAGGGCATCACTGATTGGCTGAGAGTGGTCAGCTGATTTTCTCACCCAACCAGTGACTCCCCATTCAATATACTAGCGTAGAAGAATTTTGCCAACTTTCTGGCATCCGAATCTGTTCCAATACTCCTTTCTGTGGGAGGACCCTTCTGTTTTCCCTGTCAGTCAATTGAAATATAGCATGAATAATTTGATGGGTGGGAGAAAAAACTATATTTTTAAGACTGTGTCTAATTTCCAAGCTATACATTTGCTAGCACAATATAGAGGTGGAATTCCATGCTGTTTCTAAAGAACTTGATTGGTTTGGGGAATGATGTCTCCCCTTTAAGACCGTCAAAATTTTAATGTTTTAACATTTGATGTCCCCAAACCCAATGCCGAACGAAAAGATTTAGAATGGAGGCGTGTGGCATTTGTTGCACATGCAACGCAGGTGCACATATATTATCCATCAGGATGATGGAGACGCGGAACGCCCCAAATAGAGTTATATTGATTCAATGCATCTCTATGAAGAAATGCTGATTGGCGCAACACAGTGTTTTGGCACGCATACTATGGGAAAACATTGGTGTGGCTGAGATCATCAAGATTGATGATCTCAGCCCTGGAGGCGGGGCCAGCCGCGGCAAGACCAGTGCAGCCAGTGCGATAAAGTGGGTAAAATTACCTTTTTCAATGCAATCTGTAAGGCGGGGACCTAAAAAGCCACTTCAGCGCTATCTTGTTAGGAGTACATTTGTTTGTATTCGAAACATTATAGTGTTCCTTTAAATAATGTCTTGCAGTTTAAATGAAACCAGGAGGCTGCACTCACCTGATCATGCATACATAGGGTGCTGTGGGGGCCAATTTATATTTAAATGAGCCTGCCACATTACTTATTTTCTTTTGAGTAATTCCTTTTATTGCATCTGTATACCTAATCATGTCCTCGTTTTTCCTCCTCTTCCTTGTCCCTGTTTTATAATATTATCATCAAATGTCGGTTGTAGCATGTTTGAGAGTTAATTAATGTCGTCGTAATTGTATTTTGTGCCTTGTTTTAGAATAAAATAAACAAAAAAAAAAACATGAGATCTGTAGAAAACAAATGTTTTTCATTAAATTTATTCAGAATTGTTCTTCCAGTACAGCTGGCATATTTAATTTCCTTGTGAAACGGTACATTTATTTTAAATGTAATTTCCTGTGCAAGTAAGAAGTACTAAGGTGGCCAAGTAAGCTTTTATTTTTTTATTTATTCCCCCACCCCCCCTCAAATCTGATTCAGAAATATTATTGGAGCATTGCAATCTCATCCTGATACAATGATAGGAACTATTACTAAGTACTGATCTCTAACCCAGCAATGAATAGGTTAGCACAACATAGATAAATCTACTTTCTCCATAACATTCATAAATACTTGTCAAATTTCCTTAGCCTGCGGGAAAATGGTCAAGGAAATCTGATTACATTGTAACAATTCGTCTAAGGATTTTGGCACCAGGACGAGGGGCATTCCAGGCTGGATTTGCAACTTCTCTTTTGATGCCTCGTGGAGATTATGAATTTGTCCTCATTCTCAGGAAATCCCCTGGATTGGCTAATTCAGCAGAAATATTACTGAACGCCCCAGCCAATCCTAGACCATTCAACAGAACATCAACAATTAAAGTGGAACTGTCAACTTTGGAGGTGACATCACCGCGGGTGGGGGGAGAGTGGGGAGTGGGGCAGGTAAAGGTGAGATTTACTTACTTGAACCTGTCCCTTGCGGGCACCGCCATGTTTCTTTGGCGGGTCCTCTTCATGGAGTGCCAGGAGTTGAAGTCCCTACGAGAGTAGAGCATCAAGGTCCTCCATAGACAGAGCCAATTTCCTGCATCCATCACTGGGGGGAGGATTGACACTTCTAGTCGGCATTCGCTCCGCCCACTGTCTAGAAGTGTCAGGCGTAAGAAATATACAGAGACAAAGTAGTCCCTGCTTAGTCTCCGTATATCCCTAGACTGGGTTGGGATTTCAGTACTATTCCTACACAGTCAAAATTAATATTTCATAAAGAATCTTAATAAAAAGGAGAACACTAGCTTTAGGTATGCAGGTTTGTTTTCCCAGAAGTGTAGTGTAGTTTCAGAATGCGTACTGTGGAGGTGCAAATGGACTTGTTTGGTATTCATCCTAATTAGCTAGATGTCATTGTTCACCTCTCTTTCACACGTTAAAGAAGCAGAAAGAGGGGTCCATTGTAACTTTAGAATATACAAATAGACGTTTGTTTTTTGTTTTAGTTTTTTCCCCACTTCTTGCATTTACCGTATGTCTTCATATTGTAATTCACCACTGAACTGATTGGCTATATCTCCTGGAATGGGATTTAACAGAGTACCCCGAACACCCCTGACTTTTTTCCTCCTGGTCAAAAATGTACTAATGGCTGTCTGTATTCTCCCATCACCTCGTACCTCCTCACTGCCTGTCTAGCGGATCTCAGAAGCTCCAATCTTACTGCTACTTTTGGTATTTATCACAGTTGGAGAATGTGAATGGTGTAACTTTATTCATACCCTCTAGACCAGGGGTAAAACAGTCGGCACATCAGATGCTGTGGACTTCATCTCCCCTAATGCAAAGCATCATGGGAGATGTAGTCCACAACATCTAGAGTGGTGATGGTTTACACCCTGATCATGTTAGTCATTTTTATTTTAAAAAAAAAGTCTACAAACGTAAGTGACAAAGAAGTAGACCCACTATTATAGCCGTCTCAACAGAAGTAGGGTAAGCCACCTTCATTTTAAATTTTTATTTTATTTAAAAAAAATTTTTTTTTTGTGCAGTGACGTGATAATCGTGTTAATGGGATTTTTGAAGTTCTATTATTCTGTTTAGCATAGTCATGTGTAGTTCAAAAACAATGGCAGTGTCAGGATTATAGTGGATGCAGCACGCATAATAGTATCACACCTAGGACTAAGGATAACGTATAACCGGACCTTAGAATGGCCGGACTTAACGTACTTGAGAATAGTCAAAATACTTGCCGAGGTCAGGGACACAGAAAGAGACACAACGATGAGGAAAGCCAGAAGTCAAGGATACCAAAAATTAGGGAAGACAAATACCAGAAAAACTCAATCTGGAACATACTCACGGATAACCAGCTAGTGGAAACCATGACAGGACACGGACCAAAAGATAATTTGGGTTTAAATAACCCTCCTTAGGCTGTAATTGGCTGTCTCTGACCCCAAATCGTGCGCGTCTGTGATCACGCACGTTGGCGCCATCTGTGATGTGGGCGGAGGTAAGTCTCCTACTAAAACTAGAACCGCATCGTCCAGCGTCTCTAAGAATGCTGTACTCGCTGGGGACCGGAATAGGAGGAGGTCAGGCAGCAGTTTGCCGCGACTAAGGTAAGTATATGATTTTTATGTTGGCGTGGCCGGTATGTTTCAGTGCGGCCACACCGGCAGAATCACAGGGAGCCTTGACAGGCAATGACAGAATTTGCCGTCAAGGACCTTTTGGCACTGCCCTATAAAGCATTGCGAGATCTTGTTAACGAGTTAATACAAAGCATCAGCACTACATATGAGATTTGCATAGGTTATTGTACAAAAAGCTCACTTTTCCTGTATTCCTTTTACTCTTTCATATAATGACATCCAAATTGCAAATAGTGCTGAAATTGTGCATGTAGGCACTTTCAAACCTTCGTGTTATGCTTTATTTGTGGGAGAAAAACAAAATGAAGCTACTTGACGAGCCATTAGAACTCACACCACTGCTTATTTTAGCTTACTGAGCAGTTTCACGCATGTATTTTCATGAATAAAACTACTCATAACTGCTGAACTATAAGTTTTCCTATAAAGTTTAACTGATAGACACAGCACTCCTATGTGAAATTATAGGATGACTGATAAGATGAAAAACTTCTGCTCTTTGGACCCTGTAGAAACTGCAGATTTGTCTCAGGTAAATGAAATTTCAATGCTCATAGTGACATATTTTAAAAAAGGGGGCATGATAGTCCCCCAACCTTTTCACATGGAATGTCCAACACATCCGTGTAAATAATGTAGCAATTAGACAAGTGAACCCCCAACAGCAGAATTAGCACAGAGTGGTTCAAGGCATTGTGCGTGCTAATCTCATATACATAATTTATATGCCCTTTGTTTAACATCTCAAAGTACACTTTTAATTGTTTTAGAACTGGATAATATTAATGTTACAACATTTTATCCCTTTCAACTACTTAATTAGCCTGCAATCATTTATTGATCGCCATGTTCATTACAAACATTCCCATTAAATGGATACAATCAAGACCGCTATGTGGGCTTTTTTTGTTTCGCATGGTTGTCCTCGCATACTTGTTAATCGTTATGCCTACGTCTGCGTGATCTCTGCTTAAAGCGACCATCAAATATACAACTTTAGCTCTTTTAATGAGCTTAAATTCTATCTATATGTTATGCTAGCAGTTTTGCTTGCAAATATAAAGATTGGGAGAAAAGCCTATTAAAAAATAAAATAAAAAAATATTTCTCCCATCTCTTCCTCGGCAGCCTCTGAATGCTGAGGTATGAGAGACGGGGGAGCAGAAGATACTTCTCACAGGAGGTCTTCTGCTATCCACCCATAGAAACCACAGTGCCCAGGAAGCAAAAGAGGGCCAGGCAGCAGGAATTTAAGTGGTAGAGCTAAAAACTGTTATTCAAACATTCAAACCCTAAAGAGCCCAGGCCTCCAATGGATTCACGTCCATATATTACAAGACCACCTTTTGCCTCATCGCTGTCAGGTTTTTTTTAATGCAATGCTTCAAAGGAATCCTTTCCCAAAAGGAATGCTGTCTGCAAATGTCTAATACCCAAACAAGACAAAGACCATCTAGAGCCAGGACCCTACTGTCCAATCTCATTTCTCCACATAGACCTTAAAATTATAACTAAAGCGATCGCCATGCGACTGAACCCGTACCTAGAACACCTGATACACCCAGACCAACTAAGGTTCTTTCTAAATCGACTGACCGCGACAACACTAGATGGTCTATAGACTCTATTTGGTAAGCCCAACAACACCATCTTCCCATGGTCTTTATTTCCCTTGACGTCCAACTATTATCAACCACTTAACCACAGAACTTGCACAGATCACCATTCTGTAAAAGCAATTTAGGTACGGACATTTCCAGTTCACCCCCAAATGCTTGGAACCACAAAAGGTTTTCCGCTGAATTTTGTAAGCACACGCTCACTGATTGAGCATAGAAACGTTGACATAACTATGGGGCACTCTGTGCTGTTTTTGTACATCTTTGACTTTGTTTACGGCTCTTTTTGCTGGTTTGTAATTCTAAATTCAAAAGTAAAATAATTAATAAAAAACAAACAAAAAAAAAAAACCCACATTATTGCTCTTGCCACACATTTACGACACAAACCTATTTGGATCACAAGGCTGTGCACATAGAGCAATTTATTTTTTTATTTTTTTTGCTTGTTCTTTAACAGAACAGAAGACATCTGGCACAGTGATTTCTCTTGATTATCCTGTCTCTAGAATATCTCGTTAAATTAATCACATTTCAGTAATTCTAGAAGCAGATGCCATTAATGTCTTACCAAGATAAACTCAATTTGCTTTTACTTGAACTGTTAATCTTTGGACAGTGGAACGCTTATTTTTTATGGGCACATTTTTTAGTTTTATTTCACAATTAAAAGGAGCAATTTGTGTAGTTTCAAGGCACAAACATCAGGAGCACTTGTTGCTTTGGAGCTCTCTTATACACTCACACCCACTGATAATCAGAAGCTCCTTGAAAAGGGGAACTTGGTATAGAGAAGAGGGACATAGGGAATTGAGCCTATAATTAGTTCTGTCCCTCCTATATCGGGACACTTGGGAGGGATAGTATAGTGATCTTTGTAGTTCAATACTTAATAATGTACTATGTGTGTCATAGGTTAAATTTGTCATTATATTCCAAGTGAATGACTCTCATTTGTCAACCTCTTTTTGACCTTTGTGTACCTATCACCTGCAGGTTTGTACTGGTACTGCAGCTTGTTGAGAAACCAACTCGTATACCTTGTTAAATTTCCTTTTTCTTTCATGTAGTTGAGCAGATGGGAAATTTTAATTTTTCTTGTTTAAGGATTTATCCCAGATTGTGCCATGACAACCGCTCAATTTGTCTATTTTATTTTTCACGTTTGTTACGTTGGGGTCTCTGGTTTGCACAAAAAATAAATAAATATATATATAATTTTATTTTAAGGGCAACTGTTATGTGCTTATTTAATCCACTAAACAAACGTTGTTTTAGTAAAAGGCTGACAAGTCCATAGAATACTCCAAGTAAAATTAAAATCTATGTTTAGAAAGTGACAACTCGAGTTTATAGTTGTTAAAAACGTGCAGAAAGCTTTCTTGGTGTGGATGACTTGGAAGGGAATGCATATGGACCATATTGATGTCACTTCACAAAACATTTTTAGCAGTTACCCCACTCCCCAATATCACCCCAACTTCATAGTTTACACCCCCCCCCCATCCTAAATAGAACAGCACCTGCCAAGTAAACATTCAAAGGTACACTCCAAGTACCCTGACATCCCCCAAGGAGCCAGGTAAAAAAGTTAGTTGTCAATTTTTTTTTTAAACTATCAAAGCTTTATTTTCAACTACGAAAATAACAGATCTTAAAGGCAGCACTTTATTTTTTTTTTCTACACTGTTTTGATATCTAAAGCCTGTCCCTGCAGACTTTCCGATGTAAACACTGCATTTTCATAATGTTAAAGCACCCACATTCAGCATCTCCATGCTCTGCATTGAGTCACTGAACGTTCCCCGTATAGATATATCTTGATTCTTGAGGAGATGATGATTGGCACAGTGTTTTGCCGTGCATGTGCAATAGCCTCAGTTAGCCAATATCAAGATTGATGATCTTTGCCATGGAGCTGGGGGGGCCAGCCGCGACGAGACCAGCGCAGAGTTGGAAAAATACCTGCCTGTGCAATCAGATGGTGGCAGTTCACCTAAATAGTTAAACACTATAGTGTCAGGAATACATGTTTGTATTCCGGGCACCATAGCGTAAATTCAAATTTACACATAAAGAAGACCCACGCGCACGCACTGACTTTTTGTTTTATTTTTGGGAGAGCTGGAGTGGATTATTTCCCTGGGGTCCTGTGGGGATCCTTTCCCTGGGGTCCTCTGGGGCTGCTGTCCTCTTCTTGCTCTGCTCCCTTGTGCGCTGTTTAATGATTCCGGGGGTGTAGTGACGTCCTATCCTGACATCACTAAACACTGCGTGAGGAAGCAGAGCAAGAAGAGACAGGAAGACGACTGTTCCCTCATCGCCTCCATTCCGCATTGGAGAGGTGGACAGGGCACTTCTGGTATCGTAACCTGTAGTGGTTATGGTGTCTTGAGATTTCCTTTAAGAAAAATCCTTACAAATGCACTGCTTGCAGTGTTGAGTGCAGTATAATCATGGGGGCATGATTAGATTGCCATGACTTTAATACTGTGCATTATGCAGACTCTTAACTCCTCTGTACTTTCAATAAGTATTGAATACAGGAAGGAATCGTAAAAATATTGCCATGAAATGTACTGTGATTACGATGAGAGAAGAGCTTTAGCTTTGTAGTAGGTCTCCACTGGAGATCAATACTTTTAATGCTGATGACCAATCATGATGTAATTTCTGGAGAATAATATACATAAAACCTAAAATATCAGGCAATCTGAACCATTTCATGATCAGGTTTGTTTGAACTTTCAGTCTTTGCTGAGGCTCAATTATAGAAAATGTTTCATTGAACATTTTGGATGAGTAATATGTGTTTTCACTTTGTTTTGTTTATTTTAAAAAATGCGTATAATTGGAAGTTGATTCTCAAATTAAAGAAAACAAACCGTAAAAAAAAATCATATGTGTATTGTCCACATAGAAGTGCCAATTTGCAATGATTACTACATTCCGACGATGAAATATAACTTTAAATTTTTACTCTAAGAACCGTAACCTCTATAATGTGTAGCAATACATAAATTATGTTTGTCACACGGTTGTGAATACAAGAACTAACTCTACAGAGAGTATATATATGTATATATATATATATATTGTACTTGATTGGTAATGTTCGGAGTCTTTTGCTGCATTATATGCATTAAAATCTATCTTAGTTGGCTATTTATATACATATATGTGTGTATGTTTAGTGTTTTATTTTACACTGCTAATGCCACTATTCAACATATTGGAAAGTGTAGTTTGAGTATTTTGTCACCCTGTCCAGTCATTTTAAACACTCACGATCATACATTGCAGTTTTTGCAGAAACTGCAGTGTTAAAACACACTGACAGCCACTGCTGGTGCTTTTGCTGCAACGTCTGAGTAAAAGTCGGCCATGCAACATTGCAGCCACCATAGGAAAGCATTGGTTCAATGCTGTCTTGTGAGAAAGCTGGTATATTTGCATGTGGGGAGCATTGAATTGGACTGTTGCCAGAGAAGGTCCATGTCTCTCCTTAATTATGTTGTAGGAAGCGGAGAGGTACGCAGTGCCAAGGGAGCCTTGGCACTGGAAAAAGTTGAGTAAAATATTTTTATTATTCTTATGGCACACAACAGAGGGAACTATAACTAGGGACTGTGAACTAAAGTGTTAAGAATACTGGTAGAGTGTTACTCTGTTGGCACCACAACATTCAGTGTTCCGTGCTCTTGTATATGTTCCGCTTGCTCGTTGAGGCAGTCACCACACATGTACCTTGCCAACCAGCCATTGTTCCCTCCCAGCGCGTTCCTGGCACAGGCAGCTGACACTGTTTTGATCTTTTTCACAAACTGATAATATGAGAATCATTTGCATTTTCAGGCACATAAATCTGTCACCTTCTCAGCACCTCATCTGTTATCTTCATGGAACAAAAAAAATAAAGAAAAAGAAATGAAACAAAAAACCACAAGCCATCTGGCCGTTTGAATATTAGTATAGTTTTACTTAATGTAAAAGATATGTTAAAAATGCGATCTGAAACTGGCCTCAAGGGAGAAAATTAAGTACTTTTAAAAAATATTTTTTGTTAAGATAAGTTTTATTTGTAGATAAATTTTAAATCTATATATTCCCATATTAATACATTTAAAGCTCTTTTTGCAGGTAGAGCTGGTTTTATGGACATATGTTAAATGTTGGCAGGAAAGTTAAAGAAACACATTACGCCCACGGTAGTGGTTATGGTGTCTGGCATGCCACTGCACCATTACAGTGTAATTTGTTAAACTATCTTACAGTGGCGTGACAACTTACCTGGGTCTCGAGGTGCCCCCAATGAATATGGTCTCCTGCAGGAAAAGTGCATGGGCGCTATAACTACTACAGTGGTTTACATTTGTGCTACATGTATACTATTTTGCATTCCAGTGGAATTAAAAGAAGCGAATGTTCTGTCTGATGTATGTCCCTAGAAGTAACAAAGCATGGCAAAAACAAAACATTGGGTAATCTGTCTGCCTGGCTTGTTCCCAATCAGCCACTGCTACTTATTCATATGCAAGAAGATTTGTGGAGTATTCCATTGTCTGGTCTGGTGTCATATTTTGTAGGCCAAGAATACAGAGGACTAACGCGCAAACATGTTGCACCACAAGGGACAACACCATTCGGGAAGACCGAACAGGCAGAGAGGGTCTGAAAGCATGTTGAAAGTAGGAAGAATGGATTGAGGCATGTGCTGGGTATACACAGGCTGACTGATATATTATGACAGTTTGCAACAGTAGCATTTCTATTCTCTTCCACTGTCCAAGTGACCAACTGCTTTTTTTATTTTTTATTTTCTTTTCTTTCCATATAGTGTGTCGAAGTAGGGGTCTTGATTTGGGAGAATAGTTGACCTGGCAGGTTCAGGTTGATAAAATGATGAAGGGGGGCAGGGGATAAGGAGAATAGATGGCAGGGTAGGATTAGGGTTGGTACAATAAAATGGTAGATTTGGGGATTAAGGAAGAATTGTCCAGTGGGTAGTTTCAGGGTTAGTATGAGTAAACCGTATACGGGTGAGTTAGTCATTAGCCGTCAGTTATTTGCAGCAATTTTTAGACCTGGCTGGTAGAACCTCAAATTTTGGGTACATAGAATGTGGAAATGAGTGTGAAGTGCTCTTTACTGATTTTTATGTTTGTTTTAAGCTCAGAACGTGTTGCGTTCAGTGATCACTGTTGATTTTGGTTCCACTTTCTGGTTGTCGAATGATAGAAGAATTCTGTGGTCATTACACAACACCATAAAATCCTGACTTATTCCTATATTACACATTTCTCCCATATTTCCGAACTTACTTCATCTGAAGGGAGGAGGCAAACCTTAAAAGAACACTCCATTGAATTCTATTTCTTTTTGAGATCTATCTAAAACTATCTTGTAAAAGCTGCAGATCTCTTGTCTGCAGGCTTTGCAGGTCCCCCCACCTTCGTCTCCAGCACAGACTTTCAGCCCAGTGCACCTCTCACTTCTGTTAGAAGGTGAAAATAAAAATAAAATCTAAGTCGATTTGCATCACTAAAACTGTACCCGATATGGTGCACACAACTGAAGTCTGTATCTACAGATTGTGCTTACTGAAATGCTAGTAAATGAGTATATTTTAATTTATTGCCATTTAAAATTGTGGTCAGTCTTCAAGTTTAGATCTGTATGCCGATGGCATATAGATCTAAATAAGGGACCAATTGATAGGTGGAGTACCTTCCAAAAGGTGGTTCTCCTACTCCCTATCACTGTACTACTCCCCCAGCAAACATTTTTATGGACATTCATAGAATGGTGGCGCTATAGCAAGGGGCAGCAGTGAGTGCTGATATAATGTAACCCATAGTAAAAAAATAAATATGGTATCACTATGATTAATTTACTGCCTTCGGATGACATGCTCACTTTAATTAAACAGGAATATTTATGGATTTATATTCTTTCTCTTTCTCAATGAAGGCGGATTTATAAATTGTATTTTTCTTATTCGATTCATTATGTATATGATGCCATCTTGACAGATGACAGGCTTAGTGGGAGTGCAGTGCTCTCTGCTGATAAGCCTGTCAATTTCAATAGAGCCAGTTTCTTGTGATTTTTTTTTTTTTTTGCATGCTTGATTACATTTCGCATGCTGTGTTTTCCCAAATCGCACTTTTCCTGCGATCATATGCAGATGTGACATGTTGACATGCGGCATATTTAGCTGTGATCTTTAATATGACCTTTCTATTGGCTATTGCTTCCTATAGCAATGAGTCTTGTACATTTTATTAAAGTTCTGATATGACAAATACATTTAGTTTAGTTTTGTGTGTGTAGTTGTGTTTTTTTTTTTTATTTTTTTTATTCCCCCCCTTCCTAAATATAGTATAGCAATATCAGCACGGTCTTCCTCACTATAGGTATTTGTTCCCACTTTATACTTGGGATTTAACATTCTTATGGGCCAAAGAGTGGATGATAATCTGATGGCTGGCTGAGGATTCTTGCAGTTGGAATTCAGGAACATTAGTATGTACTCATTAGCAATGAGACATTTAAGAGATTTCTCAAAATGTGTTTAAACATATGGTACAAAGTTCTCCAAGTGGTAGTCACCAATAGAATTTGCCAGCCAGTTTACATGGTGGTTACACTATTTTCAGATTGTAAAACTTAGAAAAATCTCCCTCCTTGTGTAGATAATTTGCAGCTCTGCATGCTATTAAACCTTTAATATGAACATTTAAAACATGCCTTTTTTATTTATTTTTTTATTAAATGGATTGTTCCTATTTGTGTTTAAATTTCTTTTTACAGCTGCAGGATACTCACAGCTACCATCTGCCTCCTGTGAAGTCTTCATTTTTATGAATGACCTGTCTCCGATCAAATACATAGAGAGGCATTTGGACACACTGTGAAATTGTTGCAATTGGCCAAAGAGAGTGAGGCAGGCAACTATCCCAACTGTCTGCTTAGCAACCATGAGGTGTCACTGATAGGATTTATAAATGTGACAATTTTCTCTTGGAAACAGCACTTTTATATAATAAGCCAGAAGGGACATGCGGTTAACCCCTAACGCACCTACACCATCTGAAGTGCTTTAGAGGACCAGAGTGTCCTTTAACGCCTACACATTCTACCTCTGTCACAGCTGGGTTAATGACATGTGCCTGTCCCAAGCAGTCCAATGGTGTCCTTGTAATAACCTTGTCCTACATATAATATCTTCTTATACGTAACTCCCAATGTTTTGTATTTTAAGTGTTGACCAAGGGCTAGTCAGTCCAGTTTGCGTGACACAACCTCACTGTTGGGTGCTCAGGAGGACTGTTTGAAGGAGACGTGATGAATCCTTCTGAATCATGTTCCAGTACTTCATCATTAACCCTTTCCGTGTCCGACACTAGATTTTTAGAATCCACGGCATCCCACACACCTTTCTATGTAAGGAATGTGATGCTCCTTAAACACAACTTCGAGCCTTTAGGATTTTATAATATAATATTTGCTACAAATAGAGGATTTCTTGACAAATAGCAGTTTTTTATTTTTAACATTTTCCAAATCCACTTTTAAAACATCTATTAAAAAAGAAATGTACTTAATGTGGCAGTTTGAGATGAAATCTCAAGGATTTGTTATACCGATATCTTGAAGCGGATTTACTCTAGTGCTGGAATTGACTCGTGAAAGGTATATTAAACCCTCCTACCCGGCACATGTTAAACATATTCAGCGCGTGCTGTTTTATTATTGGTTGATGCTGGGATTTCTCCATAAATGGCTTGTGACTGCACTTCATGCTAGTGATTATTTTATCCCTCGTTCCTTTTTGGGTGATGGCTGCAGTGGCGTGTAATAAGCTCCACCATTTGATTAATTTTGTGCTTGTTAACTGGCCTTAAAGCGGAACTGTCACTTATCTGTATGCTGCAGACCCATCTTATTGTTGGCCAAATATTCAATACCATCTGAAAAGCATTTTCCAATAACCCAGTCAGAGGCCGAAATAGTGGAAGAATAGAATCACGTCTGCTGCAATTGAGAAGAAGCAGCCAAACTAGTGCTCAGAGCACACTTTCTAATATGTTGAGTATATACATGATATCAGTGAAAGAGAATAAAACAAAACAATAGAATTTTATCTTGACAAGCTTACACCGTTCTTTGTCTATTCTTCTAACAGAAATGTAGGCTCTTCTAATTTGGAAGAGGGTAACTCTTCACATTGGGTGTAGGACAACTCCTCAAACACCTGCTGGCCTTGAAAACCTTAGTTACAAACAGTAAATGTTTTCACTACAAAATAATTATACTGCTAAGCAATGATTCTGCGGAGCATACACGCTATCCTATTTACCCTATTTTCTATTCGGAGACTGAAAGCTTATCTGGTATATCGGTTGGATTATACTGGTTTGCATTTCAGTGTTACATAACTATCGATCTTAATATTAAGGCTCTTAACATTATATTTGCCACATCAGCATACCCCAGTAAAAATGCTATTGAAATGCACATTGGGCTGAATAGTGCAGTGGCAGTAAGAAAAAACACATTTACCTCCACTGCTCTGATTCTTTGTCGACAAATTTACAAATGCATGTGAGCTGAGGCAGCAAAGAATATACTATAAGTTAATATATAAAAGAAAATGATTTCTTAAAACTTCTATACATTTTTTTTTTTTTTTTTACTATGGGTGTTACAATATTTTCCGAGATATTTAGCCAAAAAAAAGGGCAGATTTAAAAAAAATAAAAATTATTTCTTTTTAGCATGCATAAAGTCATGACAGTTTAGCATGCAATGCCCCAACAGCATATACAGACATAGAAAGCAACGTTTCACAAATTGTTGGTCAGCATCTTAGTAATGTGGCACAATTTTGGGTTAATGGAATTAATGTGGACTGTGACATTGGTATGTTAGCGTATTAATGTACCTGTCAGGGGCCACTGAGATCACGTCGTGGATAAATTAATATTAAAGATAATTGGCTGAGCCGAATAGTGTAATAGAGAGATAATTTGGGTGCAACTACTTGAGAACAGATACCTATAGCTCCTCGGGCTGTAGTACCAGTCATACGGTGGCTGTCATAGTATTGGCTATTGACCCAACTTATTGGGGTGGTATTAATAGGCAACTGGTACATGTTGTGGTGTCGCTTCCTAAAGTGGCCTGTTAAGTGTTACCTGGTAAGTGCGTTAAGCAGGGTAGATCCCTTAAGGACTGGAATGTTGAATGCATGCTAGAATGTGGTGCGTCAGTTTATGGAATTATGGTGGGGTCTGCGGTAGTTAAAATTATAGTGCCCTGTGTCTCCTGGTCACCCGGAGAGGGGAGTGGGTTGTGTGAGCTGGCATCATAGACACGGCTTATGGTAAGAAAAATACAAAATAATTCAAGTAAAAATAAAAATGTCCTTGCTGTTTCCATGTAATACAGGCACTGATGAAAGACAACTAAAACTTGTAGGTGGATAGTGAGTCCATGGGACAGTCTGAGGACTTGGATCCCCCCTGGAACAAGTCCTTCAGCCAGTGTCCACTCTTGGGCGAGGTACGAAGTTGTTCTGCACGTCCCAGTTGTTGCGCGTTGCAGGTGTGGGGGTCTGGTGCTCTGTGAGGCCCGGCTCCGTGAGTAATGAGATGGAAGCCTCTGAGGTTGTAAGCCGGTACGTAGCGTCGTCTTTTGCGGCGATTAAGGTGTGGGATGGCCCCCATCTGTAGGTAATTCTCGCCTCTCTGAGCAATACAATGTTAAACAATCACATTACATTACACCCAGGAGCATACATATCACCAAAACCATACAGGCAACCCTTAAAGCTATAGTCCTTAAGTAATGTCCAAGTGGCTAGGTTTGCCACAGTATTCTATAGTGCGAGAAAAACAAGGCCGTTTTCCTGACACTATAAGTTCCTACAATGCCCCCTCCCGCGGCGCTGAATGGGTAAAAACCCCATCAGTCACTTAACTGAATTCAGCGCCAATGTCCCTCGGCACTAGGTCAAATGCCACCCCCGTTCTCCCCTCGCCGTCAGCTGGCAGGGGATACCTAATGCGCATCAATGCTTTTCTATGGGCATAGCGTCATTTAGGCAACCAAAAGTCGTCTAAGCACCCGGAAGTCCCTATAGTGTGTGGTAGACAGCCACTAGAGGAGTAGTTAACCCTGGCAGGTAATTATTGCAGTTTCTCAGAAACTGCAATAATTACCACTGTAGGGTTATGGGACATGGCACATTACACCCAGACTACTTCAATGAGCTGAAGTGGTCTAAGTGCCTATAGTGTCCCTTTAAGCTTTTAAATATGTGTTATGGGAGTGCTGAGAGTATCCCATTTCCCGAATGCTTTATGGTGGTATCGTGCCTTAGTACTAAACTACACCTTCTGCCGTAGTTTATCAGCACTTGTGCACAGAGGATTCCCCAAAATTCCACGTATCCTTTATTTATTTTCTGTCTCTTTTCCTTTTTATTTTTTCTTTCATTGCTGACCAGACTATTGCTATTTACGCAAAACCTTTTCTCCTTTTGAGGTCTGATAACAAAATTGTACATTCTTGTTGTGTTATCAGAGCAGTCTCGGAGGTTCCATACTCCCATACCATTAATTGCTTTGTTCTTCATCTTATGTCATTGTTTATATCATGATCATTTTTTTTCATTTTCTTAATGCACACGTTGTATTAAGAAACACTGTTGTGATAAATATTGCATTGTTATGCCTGACCCTTGATAAAATTAATTTTAAAATGAAAGCAGAACCTTCACTGATTTGTGAAGACGAGATATTAATAATGCTTTGGTATTTACTGACAGAAGCTACTTGAAGCCTTTTGGATCCAGAGAGGTTATGAATCCCCAGACCTCCCAATATTTACCAACTCTAAGCTGTTTTTTATTTTTCTCTTTAAATACATCTTAATAATTTTTTTATTTTTTTTATTCCGTTCTTTGTTATAACCCAAACAGTGGTAACAGCTACTGATGATTTGAGCTCCTGTGAGCACATTTTCTGTAAAGGTCCCTGTATGGCACGCTAATTGAGGCATTACCATATCTGTGTCTGGATGTTGAATAGACTATTCCCCTGGCTCTCTGTACAGGAGAATGAATATATCAGTATGATGTACAGCTTCTGTCTCGCTCCGTTAGCTCACTTAGCCTTGTGTTCCCTACTTTGCTGCGTAATACGTCGACTCCCAGAGCTTCCAAACTCAACTGCTGCATTTCTTCGTTTTTCTAGAAAATGACTTAAACTGCTTTATTTTGACCTTTGCATACTAATCAAAACCACAAAGGCTATGCATCAGAAGAAGACGATGTGGCGGCGGGAGGGGGGGATTTTGTGGTTATTTATGAAATCAGATATTGCAGATGAGTGACACAGGAATTTTTAAATTGTGAAATAAATAATTTTTTTCTTTGAAATATGCAGTTCCTTTGTTTCAGTGCACTATAATTCCTAATAAATAAGAACATTTCTGGTCTCCGCTCTCTGTATTACTACTAATCTGCCCCCCATGAAGGAAGTGTGTGTCTCTCTCATCCCCTCCCTCATTTATATGCCATGGATTGTTAATTATGTAACAAAGCCCCATCATAGTTCTACTTCCAAGTACTAATGGCTGTTTAACATCAAACTAGTTGAAGCCATTCAGAAGTTACTAAAAAAATAAACCATAGTACAACCACGACCACTGTACGCCTTCATCCTCCCAGAGTTTGACAACTTACCCAGGACCAAGTGATAACTTCGCTCCTAGCAGTCACTACGTAAGCAGTCAAGCGGTTTTTAAAATTTTATTACCTACAATGGAACTTCGCCAAAGCACTGCTGGAGGCATGACCAGTACAGCACTGTAGTGGTTATTGTACTTGCAATGCCCTTGAACACAGTGAACATGAGGATTTGATAACGTTTCCCTTTGTTGCAACATTTTGCAGATAATCTCTGATCCTCAGATATCAGAGTTTTTGTTAAACTGTAAATTGTTGAGAATTTACACTGGAAATTCCACTTATCAAAAAAATAGCAAAATTATATTTTTCTCTACTCTGCTGTCTTGAACTTCACTTTGTGATTCTGTTGTCAAGTCCACACAATCCTTATATAATGGATAAGGTTATGTGCGCTATGAGCATTCACTACCGGAATAGTTTTGTCTGTTCTCATAACCCTGTGATCTCAATTTTTCATTGCACGATTTCCTCAAAATGTCTTGTGTTGACACAGTGGACAAATAGAACCGTGTACATTTCCTCAGTTGAATTAAATCTATATATGCTCGCTGTACTTGTAGAGATCAAAATGCTCTTCCTGGTTCTTAAAAGAATGTCCGGAAGGGAGTAGTCGGGGGTCCTGTGTACTCTTACCAGCACCGTATGGTTTGTAAATACAGGACTTTGGCGACATGTATGTGTCCTCTCTTGGCTTGCATGATTCTGATATTCTTCCATTTAAAAAAAAAATGACCATCTACTTCTGAGTTTATCCACTGGCATGAAATGTTTTTGGGTGTTTAAATATTTTTTTGTAGGTTTTACTACTCATTGAGAAGGATGACTTTCTCCATAGTGCCCAATAGGGCGTATTAAACCAGAAACCTCAAAACGTCGTGGTTTAGACTGTATAGCCTTTATTTGATATAGATGGATCTAGTGTCAGATGGGGTCAGCGGTGAACTCATCTGCCAGAACGCCGGTGGATTACCGGGTCATTCTTTATCCAGCTGAGCTTGCCAATTCTTTCAATTAAGCTGAATAGCTGCTAGCAGATACTTTGTGTAAATTCTTTTCCCTGGTGTCCTAGAGATTGTGTAAATCTGGAGATTGATCCAAAGCTGGGGCAGACTTTCCTTAAGCAGAAGCATGGGTGGGATTGTAGAACCTAAAATCTAATTTTATATAGTGACGATTTTGAGCTGTCAGCGCTGCCTTTGAACTGGGAAACCCAGGGTCCAATCCTGGTCAGACCACAACTTTAGCTTAAAGGGACACTAGGTACCCAGACCACTTCATCTCATTGAAGTGCATACATTTCTGCTTTTAAAAGTAAATCTCATTGAAATGGTCTGGGTGCAATGCCCCTGTCCAACTTAGCATGGCAATGTAAATCATTGCAGTATTTGAGAAACTGCAATAATTACTTTGCATCACTAAGACTGCTTCCAGTCTATAAGCCACTAGAGGCGCTTCCGGGATTGTAATGGACTCTGAGTCCCTTAAATAATGCTGGGGAACATCACATTCTGCATGAGGCCATCCAGTGTCTGTGAAATACCCATAGGAAAGCATTGAGGCTTGCTGCGTATGCACATTTAGGTCCTCCCATCAGAAGAGGCGCACTGGAATCGGGTAAGTGACTAAATGGTTTTTAAACCCTTTATCTGCCAGGGTAAGGGGGCCACAGGGCACTGTAGTGTTTAGGATACAACTTTGTATTCCTAACACTATAGGATCCCTTTCATAAAGCACTTTTAGTGTATAGATCATGGCTCTGCAGAATATCCCTGCTGTTATCCTAAGCATTGTCTAGTGAGCCAGGCATCCTAAACCGAACGCGGTACTTACTTCTATTTTTAGTCCTTCATTAGAGGAGTATGGAACCAGGGAATCTCTGTGACCATTATTAGATATTTTCTTTATATTGCTTATATAGTTGCTGCTAAGCAATTAGTGCTAATGATTTTCAATGCTCTATAATTGATACTTTACACCAGTTAGAATTGTCACTTTATTACATGACACATTTGAGATTGTTGCCCCTGTCCAGCGGTGAGTCGATCCTTTTTGCCATGGCAGCCTGTCACAAATGCAAAGGGATTTTCAGCTCGTCTTCAGACATGAGGACACATAAAGCTGGCTTCTACATATTATTATTATTATTGTTGTTATTATTATTATTATTATCATTGGAATTTATATAGCGCCAACTTATTCCACAGCGCTGTACAATATTAGAAAAGGGGGGAAACTTTACAATAAATGAGTAAATTACAAAATGTTACAGGAACATTTGGTTGATGAGGACCCTGCCCAAGCTAGCTTACAGTCTGCGTACATTTCGGCGTTTAAAAGTAAATGTTTCTGTAGAAGCCAGGCTTGTCGTGAGAGGCACTTTGCTGTTCCTTTAATAACTTTCTGAATACATTCCTGATCACATAATGTTGGGAATACAAACCTGTATCCCTAGCACTACAATGTTGGAATATAAATTTATGTCTCCGGCCCGCCTTTCTGGAGTAAAAAGGTTTTAAACTTATCTTATCTCTATCACCGCTCTGGTCTTCCCGTGGTTGATCCTATCTCCATGACTGAGATAATCAGTCTTCATAATCTCAGCCGAGGCAACTGTGCGTGCGCAGCAAAACGCAGCACTGCACCAGTCCGTAGAGATGCATTAAATCAACGCACCTCCATGCAGATTGTGTGCAGCACTGACCCAGGATGCACCTCTGGAAGCCGTCAAAGTGAATGACACTAGAAGTGTTACTAGGCAGCGGTGTTAACACTGCCTTTTTTTATGAAAACGCAGCTTTTACCTTGAAAAGCCTGCAGGACAGGCTATATAGATTAGAAAAAAAAACAGATTAAGCTGTAGTGGTTCTGGTAACTCTAGTGTCCCTTAAAAAAAAATTAAAAATTAAACTTGGTTATTTTTAACAGCATTTCCGTTTTGGTGTAGTTTGTAGTTAACCCCATCTCATATGTATTTAATTTATTTCTTGTTTGGAACACAACAAGCATTTTAACCAGTGCTGCTAATTGTAGGGAATTTCTGTTTGGAACGTCATAATGAGAAGCCTCTTTATTTATTTTTTGGTTTGCGATTTGAAAAGTAATTTTCTTTACTGAAAAAAATTACTGTCTGTGCTGAGTGGGTTACAAGCATTATTTTTGTGAGAACCCTTTTATTATTATAAAGTATTGCACATTCTTTATTTGGTTGCGGACTTAAGCTTTGAGCATTTATTGCAAAGCTTCTTATTAAACTGACAAACTGCTTTGTGCCCACTTTTTATTTTTTAACTTGTTGGTTTTAATAACTCCAAAAGCAAGGCAGTAACAACTCCTGACATAGCTGGTGATGGCTTCTAATGTTTGAGTGATTTTAGGTCTTTGAATGTAATTCTATGTGATTCTTAAAGAAAGACTTCTTGAATTTCTATTATTTCTGTTTAAGCCAAAGTATTACTGTCACTGAGCAAAGTATTTTGTAGTACAAATATAAATACCCTTTTCTCAGTGCCATACACTTGCTGTACGGGAGCTTCCATTTTTATGTCCTTTAGGCAAGAAAGATGTGCATGTAATCACAAGTTAATGACTGTTCACTAATTGTGACATCATGCACATACTCAAGGCATCTCAAAAATGCACACCAAGGTAGTTCAGTTTGAGTGGTGTTAGAACTTAATGTTGCCACCCCATAGACTGAGCAAGAGTTGGAGGTGTGTGTGGGCGCACATGTGTTTGCGGGTATATAATTCCCATTTTTAAATGTCATTTTTGGTATTTGTACAAAAGCTTATACAGTGGTTCTTTAGTTTACAAACGCCTCGGTTAACATCATTTTCGGTTTACAAATAATCTATTGAAAACAATGCCTCGGTTTACAAATTTGTTTCGCAATACAAAGCAAGTTTCCCCAGGTTGCATTGTGCCTGGGAGGTTTATAGCACCGCCCCGTGCATGCTGGAGCTGTGGGTAGCAAATGGCTTCAAGTGTGGAGGTGTTGTAGCGGTTTTTGCATCGAGTTTTGGAGCCATTTTGGAAATGTTTTTAAAGCGATTTTGGGACTTTTTGCAACTTTTTGGGTGCATTTCTCAAATGCTGGAAAGGTAGGGGGCTGAGCTTTGTCGTTTGCATGCCTTTTACTGTGTGTTCTGCATTGCGGGTTGGTTTCCATGCCACCTTTTTTCTGACCTCCAGAACAGGATTAGTTGGTTTTCAATGCATTCCTATGGGAAACCGCGTTTCGGTTTACAAATTTTTGCAATAAGAAACATCCCGGAGAACGCATTCAATTTGTAAACCGAGGTGCCACTGTATATTAGTCTGTAACATTCTAAACCAATATTTAAATAGTACATTTAGTCTTCTTGAACCCAGAAATTATATTGTTTTTCTGCTTATGAGCCATCAGTCTTTCTCGCAGTTACTGGACCTGGCTGCCAAAATGGGAAACATGATGCCCAAGAGATGCACCTGGGATGATAGTTCAGGTGCCTAAAATCGGGACAGTGTTGCTGAATTCAGGAATGCTGCTAAGTAACGTATTATTTGCTGCTGTAAATGTCACTTTGTCTCGGGAACTCGACACAAGTAAATATATGGAATGTAATAACCCCAAAGGAATGTGAAGCTAAATTGTCTGTTGGGACTGTGGATGTCAATGTAGAGGAAATGGCCACAGGCAGTATTAGTTATTGTAAACACAGTCTGTAATCTTTCATCTGCAAGCAACTCACACGACTGCAAACAATACGTTTGGACGGATATCAAACCTGAATTGTCAAACAATGAGCAGTTCTCTCCTGTCAAACAAACCGATGAAAGAGATGGAGGCTGCATACGTGCTGAATTATTCATCCGGCTACCCATTCTGCAAAAATATTTCTCAGACTCCAGAAATGTCGGCCATTCATGCTCATTACTCGAGTGCTGATGACAGTCTAAAGGTTGACCACTGAATAAGCCAACAACCAAAAAAATCTTACACTTGCTTTGACCGGAATAAGGGAAAAGAAACCAAAAGAAAGCAAAATTCAGTGTTTCCTTTGTAAAAAATAAGATTAATTGGATTTGAACATTTTTTTTCGGTGGAATTGTTGTGTAGTCAACCTTTTACATATTGTTATAGTGCGTCAAATAGACAGTTGGCATTGTGCTTTTATTTAAATTGTTCCCTGTTCAAAGATTTGTTTTTAAAGGAAAGGACTGTTTTTCATATATTTGCATTTATTGAAATTTGAGACCTGTTACTGCTTAGGGTGGGATTAAAGTGCACCCATCCACTGTTACTTTTCAAAAGGAACTTTTTCAGGTGAATGTCATTATTGAACCTGTATGTAGATCAAGTAAAATACTCAGCAAATGTATAGATTGGGAGATCTACTTAAAGGAACACTGTAGACACTTTAACAAAGTACTCTTATTGAAGTTGTTGTAGTGCCTGCTCCTCATCCCCAAAACCCTTTATGCGACTAATTAGAAGCCTTGGAAGTGCGGCTTCAAGCCACACCTCGAAGCCCTCTAGGTATAAGCGGTGCGAATTTTCCTTCTCAGCTCTCATACTGTGTTTTTTATTCAATGATTCTCTGTGGCAGAATCGGAGGGATATTGCGGTGAGCACCACACGTGCACCTTAAGTCCCTATTGCATCTCTGAGTAGCATTGGATTGGCCCAATAACCTGATATGCCTCTAGGATGATGTCATTTGTGGAAAAGGTTATCGAGAAAAGGTGAGTAATTAGTTTTATTTTAATTTATTAAATTTTTTAAATTTTTTTTTTTTTAAATTGGGGACGGGGAAATAAATACATCAGAACTGTATCATTCGCAATATAGATGTATTCCTAACGCTACAGTGTTCCTTTATATTTCATAATGGCCTCCTCTCTGCACAGTACCTACCACCTCTACCTCTTATGTGAGGACAATGAAAGATTAGCACACATATATGTGCAACATCCCTCAGTAAATCCTTTAGTAAATTCCTTCAGAAATTCTGGGTTCTGTGAGTTCTTGTCGCAGTTGCCTGTTGACGCCATATTTGTAGTGTTGGTACGATTGCATACGTTATCCTAGTTTCCCATTAAAGGGACACTATAGGCACCCAGACCACTTTAGCTCATTGAAGTGGTCTGGGTGTGGTGTCCCTATTGCCCTTCAGAGAAACTGCAATGTTTACATTGCAGCACCAAGTCTGCCTTCAGTGGCTGTCTATCAGAAAGCTACTGATAACGCTTCCTGGATCCAAACTGACCTTTGGTCCGGTATCTGACGCTGGACCCACTCACATTCTGAATGAGGACATCCAGCGCCAGATATTTCCCCATAGGAAAGCATTGATAAATGTTTTCCTATGGGGAGGTTCAATGCATGAGGCATTTGATGCGCATTAGCACCTGCTCGTCGCGGGACAATGGAGCGAGTGGAGCGTTGACCCTCAGCGCTGGGATAAAGTAAGATTAAAGTAAGTAAACTTACCAGGGGTGGGGTTGGAGTGTGAGGGGAGGAAGGCAGGGGGAGCCATAGTAATTCAGCTTTGTATTCATGGCACTATATTATCTCTTTAAGGAGCAAGGCTCATGTCATTTACTATTATTATTCATGTGTGTGGGTACCCGTAAAGGTGGTTATCTGCTGATCTGATATCCTGATACCCTGGTATCCATAAGTGGGAGGAATTGTCCTAACCGTGGAACAAACGTGGTAAAACAGAAACCCAATGTTTGATTAGCATATTGCCTTGTTTTCAGAGTCTTGTATTTTCTATTTAACATGTCTCCTTTGTTACTCTTTATGTAATCCTATCACTCACTTCAGGATTACTTAAACAAACAGAGGAATAAAGCACAGTTGGCATTATTTATCTACTTTAACCAGGCAACGAGGTGTACATGATGTAGACTGGGTTAATTTTTCAGATGCTGATTCCTCTATCTTTAAATTATGCTTATTTATTAATATCTGAGACCTCGCCAGGATATCCCCCCAATACTATGCAATGCCTCAACTCGTCTTGGAATCCTCTATTCACTCATTATTCAATAAAGACAACATTTTAATCAGTAAAAATCTAAATGGCAAAAAGTAGCAGAGTTGAATAAATTTGCCAACTCCAGTAAAGTCACAGCTTGTCTATTGTAGTCTTAATATTGCTGCTCAGGATTTAATTTGCTAAAATAAAATGCATAACCTGCACTGTGTTGCAGTTTGTTTACTTGGTTTGGATGTACTGATAAAATGCCAATTTAAAAAAAAAAAAATTATTTTGGGCAATCCGGTATTTTAAAGGAACACAGTCATGTATTCCTGACCCTATAGTGTTAAACCCGCCATTTAGGTGGCTTGCCCCCCTTGCTACTCCTTAGCCTCCTTAAAAGGAATTAAAACTTACCTTATTTAAAACACCATCCATTGGTGACATCAGAATTGATGATTTTTAGCCAATCCAATGATTTCTTTTCCCGTGTGGAAAGCATTGGATTGAAATTGGATAAAATCGTCAAGAGGGCAGAACCAAACACAATTTTGGCCAATCAGCACCTCCTCATAGAGATGCATTGAATCAATGCATCTCTATGAGGAAAATTCAGCGTCCCCATGCAGAGCGAGGAGACGCTGAACGGCAGTGCTGCTTACTGTGCAGCCCTGAGCCAGGAAGCCCCTCCAGTGGCCATCTAAGGAGTGGCCACTTGGAGGTGTCCCTAGGGGCAATGTAAACACTGCCTTTTCTCTGAAGTTGTTCTTGTGACTTTAGTGTCCCTTTAAATTTGAACGAATTGCACAATGGTAAAATATAATACATAAACGTAAATGCATACAAAAAACATAATACTGACTTCATTTATACAATTATTTGAGTATTGAAGCAGATGACGGCAGTATAATGAACAATAAAACCTCACAAATTAGAGAGAAAAAAATAAACCAATTTAAAGGTCTAAATAGAGCTGAGTATGCTTTTAAAAAGAGGAAAACAAGTAGGGGAAAGTTGATTATTTCATGCAAGCTAAGGGGTCCAGAAACAAATAGAAGTTTGTTTCAGGTGGAGGTAAAGAAGGAGCGAGAGATCAATTCAATCCACGGGAACTAAATAAGTCCAAACTGGATCAAACGACCCTGAAGAGAACCAGTAAAAAATAAACTACCCCGTAGAACGTGGTTCCTCAACTTTGCTGGTCAGTTGCTGGAGGTTGGAGCAGCAGATATCCTCTAGGGAGGGGGAATTAATAATTTAGTAGTGTTTAAAAGATGTTTTGCTTTTGTAATTGGCTCTTGACATGGGAGAAAGGTGAACGATCCTTAAAATAGGAAGCTAGCAATTTTGGCACCTACAGGTCCATTCTTTGACTGGGTTATGCTAAAGTGTGAGGCCATTCTGGCACAGAATGATGAAATGTTCTATAAATATGTCAAGTATTGGAATACAGTTCAGGAACTTTTTTTATTCATTTGTTGTAATGTCTTTTATACCTGTTTTTTTCCCGAGGTACCATAACCATTACATGTATCCATAAACTGGTCACAATTATACAACAATGTGGAGACTGGGTTGCTAATAGACGTCACAGTGTCATTCTTGTTTCTGGGACAGTTGGCAGCATATTTTCTTTGCCGTCACTGCTTCTGCCTCTCTGTTGCGAAACTTTCCAGTTCCCATATGTTAATAAAATATTTGGGTGATACACCTAGTGTGTCCATGTTAAGCCCCTCTTTTGCTCCATGTGTTTAGAAGCGCACCTTCAGATTAGTGTGCGGTTATCAGTGCTCTGTGTCGGGCTGTTCCGTATGGTTCTAGCTATCATGGTTTTGTCAATGCGTGTAAAACTTCAGGCGTGTCTACAGTATGTAACCTCATAAATGTTTTAATGGTTTGCATAGTTTCCTTGTATGAGCTAAATCTATTGCTCTGTACAATATCTTCTTGGTAAGAAAAAAAAAACCAAAAAAACCCCAAGAGAATAAAGTGGCTTATTCGCTAAACTTTTAGTTGTGGAAGACCGTGAAAAAGGTGAAAATTTAGACCACAATTGCAGTTAGGAAAAACATATCTTTTACTTGAGTTGCATCTTTTTCTCAAATTATTATTTTTATTTATTTTTTGGCCTAAATGTTACTTTTACTCTTTATACTCTGGCCTTGTCTCAGTTAATGTGTATTATTTTTTTCAACTGAAAACAAAACCCATGACAAGGCCACGTTCTCCCTGCAGCCTAATCCTTCTCTGTTGCCGTCACATCCCGGAGGACAGGCTGACGGGAGGACTTTGGTGACGTGGAGGGGAAGGCCTTTCTGCCATTGGTTGTCTGTTGCCAACATGCTATGGTGCTGACAACAGTAGCACAATATCCACAGAACATTTGTTCTGGGCTGGCCAACACTGATGGAATTGGAGTTACACCTTCAGCAACAAGTCTGATATTTCAAACTAAAACGCTGTATATACAGAGTTCAAGCACTATAAGCACTTCAAATCACTAAAGTGTCCATGCTGCTTGGTGAAACTCTTTAAATTGTAAGTGGCGGAGAACTGACAGTGGAATTCCATAACTTATGCTCAGAAGTCAAAATTTTGTATCCTACAATAAGTGGACTTTTATAAGCTTCACTTCCTTTAAAGACATGTACATGACCTAGGCCTCACTTTCTACCAGTGTAGTGTTTGCTCAGATACGCCTTGTTGTTGTGAAGTTCTATTTAGGGCAATAGCAATCTTCGATAGTGTGAAAATCTGCATTTAAAATCCGAGCTGTATGTTTACACACTCTCATGCTAAATCAAACACCCATCCAGATGGCACTGGCTCGGCAGGGCAGAAGAAATATTTCTGATGGAGTATCTTGAGCTACCTTGACAAAGTGGGGCAAAGGTTACCCATGAAATGATCGCGCAATCGAAAATACGGTATTCTTTATCTCTCTAACATAATCTTATCAATATACACTACTGGGTCTCAAAATTGTTAACCGGCTAGTGGTTGCTACAGTTGCAAAATGATAACATTGGCTCAAAAAGTGACTAAGTTCCGTCTTTTTATCTGCCCCTCTTTTCGTCAGACTGGGCTGTTCAATGTCCACTGCCTTTTATTTTATTGAAGAAGGAATAGAGCAGTGATAAACCTACTACGAACACTAGGATGGGAGGCAGTCCACCTGATGATAGGGGAATCCCTCCAACCCCCTAAAAAACTAGAACAAGTCAAACAACAATATACAGGTGGCGCCAAGAAAAATACTCCAAACACAATACTATATAATAATAAGATCAATAAAAAACCCACAGGATATAAAGAGTCCACAATAATACTTGGAAGAAAATGTATATTTTTGCTTCCTTTTCATATACTGCTATTAAGCGAAGCTACCAAGAAAGTCCCATACTCCGTACCATTTGGTATTTTTTATTCTCAAGTTTTATTGTGGACTCTTTTTTTTATATCCTGTGGTTTTTTTTTTTTTTTTTATAGCTGTTATTGCTTCTATTGCTCTTATTATTATATACTATTGTGTTTGTAGTATATTGTTGTTTGGCTTTTATTTTATGTTGTAGGACTTTTAAAGGAGTAAAAAAGCAGGATCATACTTTTGAACAAACAATAGCAATAATTTACACTAACACACAGCTAGCTTACTATGTAAACATGGACATTTTGGAGCTCAATGTAGGATTTAATGTTTGGAATAAAGTGTCTTGGCGTCTGAAAGTGCAATGACTGTGGACACAAGAATCCATACAATTATATTGTGCGATAATTGTATGAAGCTGTCTATAGGGAAATAACATTATTGCTGGCTATTGTGTTGGAAGATAATCTTGCGCAATGAGCTGGTAATTAGAATGTGCTTGTTTTCCTTTTCACGGCATCTTTGTTTCAGAACAGCCAGTTTTCAATTATTATTTTGAAAGCCAATTTCTTTCCTATTTAAATTAAAATGCACACATAAGGAATATATTCATTTTATAAAAGTGAGACTGTAAGAGATTTCTTAAAGGGACACTCCATTAGAAAAAATATTTAGTAAATATACCCTCCAAAATACACGTATATACATTTTTGTTGCATTTTTACTCGTTTTGGGTGGGAGGTATGAAAACTCTAGATTATATGAAGACCTAGTTTTTGCAACTATTGTAAACTCTCCCCTTTGTGTCCTGCATAGACTTTTTCCGTATGTCTCAGTTGTCCATTCAGACCTTGTGGACAAATTGCGCATGTGTGCAACTGGATAATTATATACTTCCCAGTGAGCCACAGGGGCACACAAACACTGCAGACAGTATTTGCAGGCAATTACTCATGACAAACATATATTACTATTCGTGTAGGTTTCCCACACTTCTGCTTTAAAATTAACTTCAGCGCTCCTGTGAGACATGACCTTCCTGGAGGTATAATTGACAGCCAGGAAGGTGTGACAAATATGGTTTAATAAACAGTGTCCTTTTTAATTTTTTTTTCTTTCTGTGAATAATTACAGTTTAACCCCTTAAGGAAACATGACATGTGTGACATGTCATGATTCCTTTTTATTCCAGAAGTTTGGTCCTTAAGGGGTTAAACCGGACTGGGTATCAAGTTGAGCTACCATGTAGGACTGGCTAATCAACAGATGCAACTTGCAACATTGTTACACAATTGTGACTAAACTCCATAAACTCACACAGGACCAGCACATTAAGACATTGCGCAATCTCTTGGGAAACAAAGCTGTCTCTCTGTTTTCTGATTTTTCTGTTAAAGGGCATGACTTCATGAAGCAGAACAAAGACTGACAGCAGACGTTTTATGAAGGATCTCCTGTGTCTTGAGACCTTTATGTGTCACAACCAGTCATGTAATACAGTAAAGACAAAATAGATAAAGCACACGAAGAAACTGGTTGCCATGGAGGTATCTTAAAAAAGTGAAGAAAAAAAAAAGTCACAGTGTATAAATTATATGCACTCTGTCCTTGAGTCTACTGGTGTAGATCAGATGGAATATTGTTCCTCACGCTGTATTCAGTTTGTTTTTTTACCGCTATGGTTCATAAATACTTCTGGTTAATGAACTATCCACATCAGTTTGGAATTAGGGCAAATTGCCTGATGCGTTCATTTGGAAGAATGATGGAAGAATTAAAAAAAAAAAAAAAAAAATTCTCCTGTAAAGGCTATTTTCTACTGTCCTCTTCCCTTTACATAGTGAAAGTTTGAAATGCCTTTAAATGCCTGAGTTAACAAGCAACAGAATCATTTCTTTCAGGCACGAATATATCTGATTACGCTTAACACAGAGTGCTCAAATTTATCGATTTAGTAGGAAGCCAGGAACATGCTTAATTAAAAGGCCGTGGTTTATCCTTCCTGCAGTGCTACGCTGAATTCACAGAAGAGGCATGGAAACCGTGAATAGTCTCTCGTAGCGAAACAATGCTTGATTGATGACTTGTGAACATACCTGTAGTTTATTTATTTAAATTTTTTTGCTTCTTGACATTATTTTACATTTGTATTAAATGAAAATACCTGCAGGTTTTGCAGTTAATAATAAAGCTTCACTGCTATTTTGGAGCCCTTCTCATATTCCTTGCATTGCAAATAGGTTTATGCAACTTTAAACAAACTCTCACATTGGGAAACGCTATTAAAGGGACGTTCTGATTACCATAACAACTTTACACATGCTGCATAGAGTATGTTGCAAAGAGCTCCTCCGTTCCTATAATATCTAAATAAAATGGCTTGTAACTTCAGCAATTTCACAGAACTGCGAGAGGGAACACTGCGTGACTGCTCTCAGATTACTCATTATATAAGTTGTACTTGGGGATGAATTGTATATTCATTAAAATGTTACCAGAAAGGAGCGTATCGCTTTTAGGTTGTTATGGTGTGAGGAGGTCCCGGGCACAGACTTTTATCAAGGAATTAAACCTTTGACAAAGATGTAGCCCACAAGTTTCTAGATGTGTTGACATCTCTGCCCCTTTACTTCCTTTCTTTATCTGAGGCTTCAAACTCTAAGCCTTGGACCAGACAACACTGATAGGCTGAGAACGTCCGCTATTGTTCTTGCCCTACCAGTAGCTCTCCAATCACAAGATGGAGAAAAGTGTGCGTTTTTAATTTTAATTATTTGTAATTGGTCAGTTCTTCCATTTTGTCTTTTTGTCTCTTTTGGGAAAAGAGAAAACAAAGTATTTTTGTAGAAATGCTAGATATGTAATTTTTAAATGTCATTAAGTGCATTGCCATCACTATTGTAATTTGCATATGATGATCAATGATGATTTGCTTTTTTGTGATCTTTTTTAGATAAATAGTTAAAATATTTTGTTAAACCCAACTGTTTTAGTGTTGAATAACTTGTTCCTATTCACTTTGTCACTGTATTTATATACATTTTTTTTTCCCCCCTTTTCCAGATATGAATATGGATTTTAACCCCTCAGATCACCCACGGGCGAGCACAATGTTCCTCAGCAAATCCCAAACTGATGGTAGGATTCCAAAATATTCTGTTTCCTTCTTTGTAATGTCTTACTGTGTAATAAAGGCGGTCTTGTGACTTGCTGTTTGGGGTTTTAAAACTGTGGTCAGGGACCAGAATACCTGCAGGTATTCTAAATTAATGGCAGCCCCAGTCTGATTGTAGCAGCAGAAATGTTGTTGTTAGTGAGAATATGTGAGTACCATGACTTTCACATAGATTTTCAGTATTTAGTTTATTCTATTTTATAGACACTAAACTTAAAGGGACAGTATAGTCACCAGAAAAACTACAGCTTAATGTGGTTGTTCTGGTGAGTATAATCAAACACTGCCTTTTCAGAGTTCACTGGAGGTGCTTCCTGGGGAAGAGATGCACAGTAGGCAGCACTGCTCTTCAGCGTCTCCACGCTCTTCATGGAGCTGCTGAATTTTCTCAAAGATGCAGCTCTATGAGGTGATGATTGGCCAAAACAGTGTTTGGCCCTGCCCCCTCCATGCTGATTTCAGACAATCCAATGCTTTCCCTATGGCCTTATGGGAAAGCATTGGATTGGCTAAAAATCAGAAAATCACCAAGGAGGCAGATCAGGTAGCGGGGCCATCTTCGTTGAACCAGTGCGGCGATGGAAATAAGGGGAGTTTTTTAAAATTTTATAAGGTGGGAAGAGGGAGGCACGTAAATGATGGATTAAACACTATAGGGTCAGGATGACATGTTTGGGGTTGATTGAACTTTTACTGTTCTTTAAAGCACAAACATGCTTTGACTTAAAGGAACACTATAGGGTCAGGAACACAAATACTTTGAATACATGATATATCATAGAATTACATGATGTATTCAATGTAAGTTACTAAGATTAAAGAGACACTATGGTCACCAAAACAACTTTAGCCATCTTGTCACATGCCTACCTTACCGATCATCTGACATGTTTGTCATCCTGTTATTACTCTTACTTTAACAAAAACCATTTTTATTATACTGATTGAATTGCTTGCTTTAGCTGTTGTGGCATTGCAAGCCTGTCTCTATCACCTATGCACAACTAAAATAAAGAATTTAAAAACAAAAACAAAAAACTTTAGCTTAATGAAGCAGTTTTGATGTATAGATCAAGCCCAGTCTCACTGCTCAATTCTCTGCCATTTAGGAGTTAAATCACTGTTGTTTCTGTTTATGCAGTCCTAGCCACACCTCCCCTGGCTGTAACTCACACAGCCTGCCTGAATTAAAAAATGGAACGTATGTTAAGTAAGATGTAACTTACTTTAAAAGTTTTTATCTTCTGCTCTTTGAATTGAACTTGAATTACATTCAGGAGGCTCCTGCAAGGTCTAGCAAGCTATTAACGGAGTATAAGATAGGAAATTCCAAATTAAACAGAATGTGTAAACATTAGATGACTATTTGCAGGAAATGTTTATGAAGGTGGGACTTGGGCTATATAAACAATGTGCTTTAACTCCTAAATGGCAGAGAATTGAGCAGTGATACTGCATGGGCATGATCTCTACATCAAAGCTTGCTTCATTAAGCTAAAGTTGTTTTGGTGGCTATAGTGTCCCTTTAACTCGCCATACCTCTTTCCATCTCCACCATTTTCTCAGTTTCGTAGGTATTACTCTTAATCTAACACCCACCTCTATTCAGTCCTCCACTCATCCCCTGGTCTTCTTTGATTTCCCCTTTTTGGAAACTGTTCCCCAAGCAGGGCAAACCTCCTCAGTAATGCAGATATACTAGCCTCGTTGATGGCCTTTGAACGATGTCAGTCACTCCGTTCCTATACTCCCTAGCAACCGCAGCTCATGCACTGTTGTTGCTATGCTTGTGAAAGCAGAATGACCTCCTATGGGAGGTCTTTTCTGCTCTACCTTGTCAGTCAAATCATGGGCATAGAATCTATTTATTTGTTTTTCAGAATTATACATTTGGTTACACAATGTTTATACAAGCATCCTTTAGAAACCCCCCTAATGTTTCTTAGAACCAAACTATGTGGTTCTGTCTGTTCAAAGAAATTTGTCTGCACTTCACTCCTCAAAATGGCTATAGTTTTACCTTATACAGTGGGACCTCGGTTTGCAAACGCCTCGGTTAACATCATTTTCGGTTTACAAATGAAATTCCATTGAAAATAATGCCTCGGTTTACAAATTTTTTTTTGCAATACAAAGCAAGTTTATAGCACCGCCCCCCTGCATGCTGGAGCCTGTGGGTAGCACGTGGCGTCTAGTGTGGAGGTGTTGTAGCGGCTTTTGCATCGGGTTTTGGAGCCATTCTGGAAATTGTTTGCAGTTGGTTTGGGACTTTTTGGTGCATTTCTCAAGCTGTGGAAAGGTAGGGAGCAGAGCTTCATCGTTTGCATGCCTTTTATTGTGTGTTCTCCATTGTGGGTTGGTTTCCATGCCAGCTCATTTTGACTTTTTTCTGACCTCCAGAACGGATTAATTGGTTTCCAATGCATTCCTATGGGAAACTGCGTTTCGGTTTACAAATTTTTCACAATAAGAAACGTCACAGAGAACGCATTAAATTCGTAAACCGAGGTCCCGCTGTATTTTGAATTCAGAAGAGCATTAGTCAGTTATAAATAAGTTATTTGATCGTGATAAGTTTTCTTTAACACAATATTTAGATGTGACCCATCACAGAGGTCTGGAACTGTCAAGAGCATTGTTGGATTTTTTTTTAAATCCCCAAAACAGTTTGAGTGGTGGGGTTGAGGGTAGTGGAGTTCCAAGGTTTGGCTCGGTTGCGTTCCACCATATTTTTCTGTAGCTGATTTTCAACTGTTGGTTAAAACAGTTGCGTCTGCTTTTCATCAAATGTCAAAGGACTATAAAAGAACACTCCTGAATATTTTTTTATCTGAGTTTGATGTACAACGGAGTTTCATGAAATATTGCAGGAACTTAATGGCTTGTTTAGCTTCCTCTGCAGTAAGCTGCTGTACAGGCACGTCGTCCCGGTGCATAGATAGTGATTGTGACGCTGCAGCCTGTAAAACAGAAGGATGCAGCAACGTTTCAGCCAGGCCTTCAGAACTCCTTTATCAACAGTGCTAATAACTTGGCTATAGTTGCTTTGTGGCTTTATATAAATATAAAGCCACAAAGCAAGGTGCAGTTAGTAGCACTGTTGATAAAGGAGTTCTGAAGGCCTGGCTGAAACGTTGCTGCTTCCTTCTATTTATATATATGCAGCAATTATATAATATATATTTTTTTTTCATGAAAAAACAAAATGCAGCCACTGCCCTGTTGTTGGTATTACCTCGCTGAAAGAACTTTGTATTCCAATTGATGCCGGGTATTAAACTTCACTTGTAAAGAGACAATAAAACAAATATATTATAACAGTGTCAGAAAATCACAGAGGACCCCCCCTCCCCCCCCCCCAAAAAAGGTACCAACTCTACCAGCATATTTATCGTAAGGAACACACAAACATTTTGGATTGCTACAGCTCCACCTAGTGTTCAATCTGCCAAGAACAATTACTGTAAGGTTGCATAGAATGCCACAAGCTCCTTCATTGTAATCGATAAGGGAATATTTCAGAAAACCATTTAAACCATTTGTAGCTGCAGCATACCCTCCACATAGATTGAAATACAAGTCTAGAAATCAAGGAAGTGCAACTAGATGGTAAATGTGCACAAGGAGAGCTACATACTATTTATTTCAAGGACCAAAAATAAACAAACAAAATATTGGCATAGAGTGACAAATGGTAAACCGTAAACCTTTGTTTCCTTTTGGTCCTTCATATAAATTGTCTGTAGCACTCATTGTGCACATTTAGAATCTAGTTACACTTACCGTACTTGATTTATTTTCTGTACTTGGATTTGGCCTTGCTTGGCAGCACTAAGTTGTAAGGTCTTACTTAGATTTTGGGTACTGCAGTAACTAACCCCTCCTGTATCTCTATGTAGAAATAAATACAGTCTTACAGAGAAATTATGACAATTGTGAGATGGTCTGCTTATTGTTGCCGTAATATTTGCTGATCTGCAGTTATGTACAACCGAATGCAATGGAACAGGGACATCTTTACACCATAAATGTTGTGAAGAACATAAGTTGTTGTGGTGTTGGCCTACTTTTATCAAGTTGCAGATTCTGCAGTTACTCGAGCACACATTTATACTCTATTTTTTGGGGGGTCCTGTTTTGCAAATCAAGTAAGAGTTGGGGCTACTTAAATTTCTGAGTGTTCTCCATGCTGTTTAACTTGATAGCTGAAATTAGCCGACTGTCTTTTTACTTATTTTTTTTTCTTTCCATTTTTTTCTCCGCACAAGTCCTACACCATTCGTAGACGGATTTAATACTCCTAGCAATCCATTTTACAATAACTAATACTCTGACGTGCTCGACAATCATATTTTGTAAAATTGTACCTCACACTTTCTTGTACAAAGTTTACTTTGTCTTGTTGAAGTTACATGCCTGTCTCTGCTGCTGTACAGACCAAGTGTGTGCGCGCGCGTGTGTGTGTGTATATGTGTGTATGTGTATATATATGTGGGTAATCTTCATTAACAATACTTAGCAAGTTTGCAGTAACTGACAGATATTTGTTTTTCAAATACTTTCGGGGAATAGAAGGGTAGAAGAAAAGGAAAGCACGCTCCAGAACAACATGTGTTGAGAAATTAAAATGGTTTTAATATTAACTCTTATAGTCTGTTTTGTTGGTACCGTACATAAGCATTCCTACACACTCAGTCAGATCCTCCCGCCATGAATGGTCAGTGGATGGAGATCCTCTGGATTCAGGACCAGAGCTTATCCTATAAGTTGTGTGCATATCAAATATTTTAACTCTTCCTGTATGTGATATAACTGGGTGGGCTTATTTGCTGTGACGAGGTCAATGGGAATGGTGTGTTACTTCCAAGGGTAATGGTGTGGTCCGTTTCATGTATTAATAAAGTCTTAATGGAGTTGCTCTGCTTTTAATTTTTTTTTTTTTTAAACTGAAATCTGTAGAGTTGTGTGTTTTGACAACTTTCTACAGCTTCAGGACAACTTGCATAAATCTTAGTAAGTGTGACAGTAAAGTACACTTACTGTAATTGTGATAAATTTCTTGGAAACAAATTGTTAAATCTTTTTTTTTTTTTTAACTTGACAGAGCTGAAAAATTGGTGCCCTAAACTGTACCAAGGGAACATTTTATTGTGTCTGATGTTGAACAAGTACCCCAAAAAATTAAAATGTTATTTAGAGATATATGTATTTTTTTTGTCTCTGCAGTGAGAGAAAAACGAAAGAGTCTTTATATAAATCACGTAAGTACAATATAAACATTATGTCCTATTGGTACGAGAGTGCACAGTCAACAATTGTGGATGGGCAGCTTGTTTAAATATTCGTGGAGTAGCTATTTTTAGATCAGAAGCTAGTGCCAAGAAAACAAAAAAACTTGAATCTCCATGATGATGACGAAGTGTACACTAATTACTCATTCAAACATTGCCGTGTTGTTTGAAGCGTGCCATGAATTGTTTGAGTTCTCATATTGAATTAGTTACACAAACAAAATGATCTCTGGTTTCGGTTGATTATTTGCCTAGAGGTACTGTAGGTTGGCTGCCATATTTTCCTGGCCTGCTAAATGCCTCTAACATGCTGGTTGAAGTATCTGATGTCCAACAAGACTACTCTATGTATCACGTTCTGTGTGTGTATATAGATATTTTACCCAGTGTGATACAATGTGTAATGACTAAACTAAATGTATGGAAGCTTAAAGATCACTTGACAAACTTTGTATTTTATGTGGAACACATTGGATAAGATTGCATTTTTGAAATATATATTTATATTGGTAAAACCTATGAAATAAATGTTTTCATTCAGATCAAACTAGCAAAATAAATCCTAAAAATGTTGGACTCTCAAATTTAACATTTTTGAAGCCACGGCCTCTTCTGGGATTTGTTTGTTGGTCAGCTGGTAACACTCACCTTTAGGAAACGAGTCTTAATAAGGTGTCACGGCCAATCCTTAAAGAACTTATTTTTTTTAATTTTTAAGGCCACAAATAATTTTATGTTTAACTTACACAGATGTGAATCACAAGTTGTGTTTTTTCCACTTTTTCTCACATTTTTCTGGTGTTTAGTAGTGTGTGATTTTACTAAAATGAAAATCTGTTTTTCCGTATTTCCTCCAGCATCCACCAGGACAACTCAGAAGAAAGTACAGTTCCTGTTCTACTATTTTCCTTGATGACAGCACAGTCAGTCAACCGAACCTCAAGTACACGATTAAGTGGTGGGTGTCAAATTCCATTGTGCTGGGTAACGATATCCATTGTATCCAAATTTCTGATTTGTTCATTATTTCAGATCAAGATTTAATTTATCGTAAATGTCAGAGAAGGCCCCCCTTCCTAATTTGACTTGAGTAGAAGCCTTGAATACTGCACGTATAGTACAGTTGCCTGGTTTTAGCCACGCGACTGTACTTACTATAGCTGAGTTGCCCAGTGATGATATTTTTTACATTCTGAAATCTCCAATGCCATGAAGATTTTTTGCAAACATGCTCTTATGCAGAATATTTCAACATTTATAGTGATCTCCTTTTTGTCACACCAGGGTTGTTTGATACATTGTATTTCAGCTTATTCACAAAAATGTCAGATCCTGCCTGAATTATTTGTTAATGAATGAGATAAAGGTACAGCAAATCTCTTCCTATAATAAAATCATATTTGGTAAATTCATTTTACCCAATATGATTTTTTTTTTATTAGGAAGTCCTAAACAGCAGTTTTCATAGGTTTATGTGCAAATTATTCCTTAATTTTATTTAATGACTAAAAGATCTCCTCTCTGTGTAAGAATCCAAACTTAGATATTTTGTTATTTACCTTTTAATTCATTAAATTGGTTTATTTGTTAACCAGAATTGCACAAAGCTAGATTTTAAGCAAAGTGCAAAAACCAATACTAATTTCCTGGTTAAATTATTTGTTGTGGCTTCCTGTGGAAGTACTGGTTTCTCGACAAAAAGCTCATTGCATACACATGTATGTTTCAGCTCGCTATGTTTTCAGATAAGTAAAATATATTTCTGTATCTAACTGTGCCCTATCTATGCAGCTCTGGGGTCAAAGGGGATAGAGGAAGTGGTAGGTGTGACTCAACCCGCATTCTTGTCAACATACTTCTGTGACACCCTGCCTGGTAGTGTAGCCAATCAGGGCTGGTCATTTATTGAGCGCTTTCATCTGGGCTGAAATGCAATCAACTTCATCAACATGAATTTGATTTAAATGGAAAAAAATACAAATAAATTAAAAAATGGTTTCTGCGACCGCAAACAATGGACACATTTTCAATTTCATCCCAGCGCTAATTTAACAAGCAGAATGCCGATATCAAAACATACAAAACCTGGTTAAATTATTTATTGATGACTTGCACAAATATTAAAAATGCAATTTACAAAGATATTAAATCCTTATATTTTTTTGTTTTTTTTTACAGCGTAGCACTTGCAGTATATTATCACATAAAAAACAGGTAGGTTGGACCTTTTATTTTACTTAATTTTATTTATTAAATTTACCCGAAACCTACACACGGTTTTTAATTATTTTTATTAAGTTTGTTTATTGTATTTTGCCAGTATTTTGTTTCCTGCAATTTTGATTGTGCGGAAATAAATACTCATCTATTTTATTTTCCGTGTTTGTATTATATGTGCCTCCAGTTGTATAGTCTGCGTCCTGTGCGTGTTTAAATGAATATTTTCCTTTCAGTGCAAATTATCTAAGGTCTTTCATTATTTGTTGAGTTTATTACAAGTAACTTAAATGTTTTCACAAAACCTCTGTTTATCTGGAACCTATGATAAAGTGGTCAGCAGGCATGCTAGCTAGATAACTCTGGATGTGCATGAATATTTTTCTACCAATTAGTTGGCTTTAAGGGACACCGTTGGCACCCAGACCACTTAATTTCAATGAAGTGTTCTGGTTGCCATTCCCCTCTTGTTTTGTCCACACAGTATACAACATTGCACTGTTGCAGAATAGCAATGGCAGGGTTTATATGCCTCTAGTGGCTGTCCGAAATAGCATAAAGCTCTATTTCAATCAGTATTTTCGAAACTCTGATTGGTGCAACATTTTGCTGCGCAAGCTCACTAGCCTCCCAATGTATTACTATAGGAAAGCATTGGATTGGCTGAGAGTATTGTTGATGATCTAAGCCACCAGCAGAATGTAGCGAGTGGTGTGTGTATGTGTGTCAATTTTTTATTTATTTATTTATTTTAAATACTTATGGGGGTGACTTGTACAGTGTTAGGAATACACATTATACACATCTGTATGTAGGCTGTATTTATGGCACCCGTTGATTTTTTATTTATTTATTTTTTTTTATTTTTTTTTATTATTTTCATTTAAAAGCATGCTGAATTGAACAGGCTCTATTTATATTTAATTGCAATGCTTGTAGTGTTTGTTAGTTTGAAATTGATCGATGATTGATTTCTTCTGCTTTCTGAGGCATATTTAGATTGCTAGGCGTAAATAATGCTAGCTACATTTTACCATGATCAATATGGATGTAGGGTGCTTTTTGTAATATTTATAGGCTTGGAAACCCATTTTCATTATTGCAGATGTGTTGCACAGTTGGGTATGTATTCGTAAATTAGACGTAAACTCACTGCGTATTACACACAGTCAGCTTCTACTTTGTTTGATAAATACATATTTCTGTAGTTTATTTGTGTGTATTAATTGGTAAAAAACAGAAAATATTAGAACAAGCGAGGGTCGTGTTTAAAGCATAATTCTGGGACAGAATTCTAAAATTTGAGCTGTCAGCATAAACATTCCATTGGTTTCCATGGTGATAGTTCCCCCTTTCAAACTTTGCTCCTGTATTGTTCGTGATAAATAATCCCCAGTGAAGGTGGTAATGATGTGATATTTGCTTCTAGATCCTTACAGTAGGTACTCTGTCATTTTAGTTTATAGTTTCCTCGGTCTAGTGATGACCGCCAACATTTTGCCCATTATTGGTCTGTGTTGAATCTGTGGGTTCAGTGTATATAAGGAATTTAGGATTTTTTTTTTTTTGTACGTTGGAGGAACAATTATCATTTTATGTAATATGCTACCTGTTAAAGGTGGTATTGACTGTCTCTTGAATAATTAATTATGCGTCTTGGGATGTTGTTCTAAGCAAGCAATAAGATTTGTCAGCTTGACAAGGAAGCCAACCTCTGGAAAAGCTGTCAGAGTTAATTTGGGGAAATATTAGTCAGAAATAAGATTTTTGGCCTGACAAGAACGGGATGCGGAATATTAAACTGTGTTGACCTAATGAGACATGCTACCCAATAAATTATTCAGTTTTATTTAAGAATTCTGTGTGGCCAATCTCCTTACTGCTCATTTAAAGAGGGGACTCTATTACCCGACCCATTTAAATAAAAAAAAAAAAAAAAATGTAAATTGTAAAAATAGTTTTACAACTAAGAACCACTAATCCAGTGGGTGACCTCTAGATTGCTGCTTTGCTCGCTATATGGTAGTTCATTGCTCCTTTACTGTATGTACTAACATATTCTTGTGACCATGCAAGTCATTCATGCAGATTGCTAGCAGTGCGATTATTCTTGGATCGGTTGAGGTTGTAGAAAGTGTTTGACACGTTAGGCTCATGACACTAAGGCATGATTACTTAATAAAGGGACATGATGAGATAAAATGATCCCCTTTTTCTAAAGCAAAATATAGATAATGCATTACAAATAATAAATAAACGAAGAAAAAAGAGAAATACTTTTAAAAATCCAGAACCTGCTGCTTATTGCAGACTCCTTGTTACCTGGAAGAGGCTTCATCAATTAGCCTCTCTTTCTGGTCTATAGTGTCTGACCTTGTGCTATAAGTATGTCCGGCAGTGGTTATAGTTTAATTCCCATCAGAAATTCCCCATAGGGTGAGTGAGGTACACTGCCTTATTGCAGTTGGTATAATTCTATGCACATTATTTTGCGATCCAGTGTGTGCAGCTATCCCCCCCAGATTTGCATATGACAGAGATCAATCCAAGATACGTGTGCAGTCTATGCCTGCTGCACAAACAACTTGGACAAAATTAATATTGGCTGCCTAGATAATAGACTTCCACCTGCTTGATTGACAGCTCCCAGGGCTGTCTTACAGCACAACGTACTCTATTCACCATAACATCTGCAATAATGAAACCTTATTGGGGTGTTGTGAAGGCCTGTGCAGTCAGTCATTCCATATTCAGGAAGTCTGTGTATGAATTTAACATAAACTTCATTTTTAACAAATGTAAATAGCTACACTTAAACATGTAAATGTAGTCGGATGCTTTCACTTGTTTGACATCTTCAGTGAAGCATAGAAAAGCAATTTGATGGTTCACCTTGTTTGTTTTTTATTGGTAAATATTTAACTTTTGGAGTCCACAGGGAATGCTTGAGAATGTGTTTTTTGTATTTTTATTTTTTTGTGTTTGTGCAAATTTTTGTTATTTCACAGAGATTCATTAGATAATCGGTCAATATGGATATGTCCTGAAAATCTTTGAAACAGTTTTTGTCTTGGAAAAAGTCATCTATTGCACCCTCTGCTGTCTGTTAAAGCAAGCTGCACACCAATTAAACTGTAGTGTCATTATATGGTATATTATTTTGTGTTTGTATGTGTGTGGCATCATCTATGTATTAATCTCCGAAAATGCATGGTTTGACTGACACCACACAGTGGCAGGATATATACAATCTGGCCTGCCTGAGATTGATCAGAGTTACACCACTGGGTAGTAGCTTGCTGAGTGTTGTGCATGCAGCACCATGAAATCGCATGCTGTAGGAATTTATAAGTTGCAGTGAACTTGCCACAGGGCTGTATATCTCATAGAAGCAAGTGATACTTGTTGTTTTACAGCTAGCACCTAACTTTTAGATTTACTTTATATTTTTAACAGAGGATCTATATGTATTGCTGGTGTCTGTATAGTCCTTTTCTGATTGTAGTTTCTACCGTTTCGTCACCCCTTTTACCCCCGTCTTCTGTGTGCCTATTATGGTTTCCAAAGCAAACTTTTTTGATGAATTTCTTGGCCTTACTCTGTGATTGATAAATCCTGCCTAACATTTTCTGAAAATGTTAATCTTCAATTGTTTAGTAATATACTGACCATTTTCATTACCATTTTTAAACAGACGTCAATTCGTCATGTCATTGGTTAATAGGAGTATATTGACCACATGATTTATGTAACCACAAACGTATGCAATTAATCACCAGTTTTACCTAAGAAGGTTAAAGACATGGTTTTATGTTGATGATTTTTCCATGAAAGCAAACACGGTGTAAACATTGGCCTCAGGTCAAATTGCCACGCTCACTCATTCATTTACCCAAACGGTAATTATAGGTGTGTGTATGAATATTAATTTTAAATATATAGTTTTCTATTTTCCTTCTGTTTTAATTTGTAAGGAAAAGGATGATATTCATTTCCCCAGTCTTACCTTTTACTTGTGTAGATAGATATTGTGTATTAAATTATAATTGTGTGATTCGATTTTATACATTCTGATGGATACGGATATTTATTAGTGTGAACCCTAAACTGTACTACTGTAATATAGAAAGTAATTCTGCAAAGTAATAATTAGTAATGCAAAAAGTAATACTGGTTGGGGAAGGTAAGTGCCAGTTAGGATAAGCTCTCCATTCGATCCCCCACCAAGGCCAAGTTCTACCTTATCCCGATCTTCTTCCGGGGGGAGGGGGGACAGTTGTTCTGGAGTAATGATGGTGCAGTTACACCCCCAGCAACAAAGCACCATGACCACTTCCAATCACTAAAGTGGTTGTGGTGTTGGGAGTAAGTTTCTAAGTTCTGTTGGCTTTTCACGCACAGTATAATAGCAGTAATTGGCATACAAATATATTGGCGATTTCAATGGTACGTAAAAAAAAAAAGCATAAAGTGAACACGTGTAACATATGTTCTTTCGGGTCATTCTTATTGTTGAAGGGTTAACACAGAAAAACTGTCTGTGTATCTTGGAAACTGATAACTTATAAAAGGGATTGTGCCGTTTCCATGATTCCCTGTTTTGAAGAATTTCTTGTGAAAGGGTTTTGGAGAGAAATCTAATTTGAAATGTTCTTTTTTTTTTTTCTCTAGAGATGGCGATGGGAGATTGCTTTTAGATATCTTTGATGAAAAACTTCACCCTCTTTCTGTAAGTACTCCTATTAGTTTTATTTATATTGGGAAAATACTCCTCTGAATAGGGAACATCTTATCCCGATTAAATTAAACTGAAATTCTTCTTGACTTAATTCAAAAAGACTTTGGCTATATTGCCCTGGGCTCGATTTCCCAGCACTGATTAAAGAAATGCATACAGGCAGTGTATAATTGAAGCTGGGCTACACTTGTTTGATGTATAGTATCGTAGGCTACTTTTTATTATTTTTCTTTTACATATTTGCAAATTGTGCCCAATGCCTCAAAATAAAGCGGAACGGTTTAAAAGTTTACCTGTTGGCCTTAAATGAGTGGTTGGGAAAAAAAGTTAGTTTCCATTTTCTTTTAAATGTTTATTAAAGATTCATCAAATGGCATCATATTCCAGTTTATTCCTGGCACAGGCAAGGCACTCTTTGCAAACGAGGAGACAGCAGAAACATTGTTTCATTTCTCTTCTTCTCTGCGGACAAAGTTTATTACAATGATTAACCAGAAGCTAAGATGGAAGCACCCATTTACAGAAAAAAAAAAAAAAAATCAGTGTGGGTTTCTACATTTAATTTCTTTTTTTCCCCACAACTTTCTTTACTAACTTGATCCTTAAAGGATCATTCAAATGTTTTTTTTTTTGTTTTTTTTTTGTGTGTTGCATTATTTATTTTCTTTGGCGATTGTATGAAAAAAACAGCTTGCAAAAGCTGCAGACCTGCTGCCTATTACTACCTTTGCAAGCAGTACCCTTTTTCTTCGGCACAGACTTTTTTTTTTAGTCTGTGTTGTAAAATACATCGATCAGAGGCTTCTAATTGAGATCCTTCTGTGCTGGAATCCAGAGCGCATGCGATCATGACTTTTCAATGTTCTTCAGTGGGCTGTAGTACAGCTTATTGAGAAGGTGGGAAGAAGGCACATCTGCTGCTTATCACGCCTGCTGCTTTCGTTAGAGATGTGGAGCTAGATGACTGTTTTAAATCCATGTGCGATATAAGACAAATGGATATTTCCTTTTACGACATTATGTTTACTACAATTCAGAAACAAGAGGCTAAGCAAACATTTCATTAAAGGGATAGTCTAAGCACCATAACATCGCCTGCCTACTGTAGTGTTTATGGTGCCAAGAGTCCCTTATCTCCATCCTTTAAGAGTTAAACAGGTTTTTGATGGTTTGACACTTATCAAAGTTTCCTGGTGCCTATAGTCTGGCCACTTTTGTCCATCAGTGTTGCTAATGTTGAAGATCTTCTGCATTGTTAGCATAAATGCCATTAATTTTATTATATACATATATATATTTTTTGTACAAAATTCACTGGCTCAGAATTTCAGCTGACGTTATTAAGCGAATTAATTCCATTCAAAGATGCATTCCCCAGCGAATGAATTGTGTCCAACGACAGAACAGATCTTGCTTAATGCAGATAGAAAATCTTTAACTCATTAAAAATGCATAATGTAATATCCTTTTGTATAAAGTGTTTGCTTATTTATTATTTTTTTTATAAAGGATTGGATAAAAGTTATTTTGTATCTCATATTCTTTAGCAAATGCAAAGATCAGTTTTGTTGCCGAATAATTTTCTATGTCTTTTTAGCCAGGTAAGTACTTTTTCTGGAACATGCATTGCATGAAAGCTTTATAACACGACAATTACATTTTAACTTTACAGAAATCAGAAATACCGACGGACTATGAAAAGCATGACCCAGAACAGAAACACATTTATCGTTTTGTTCGTACTCTTTTCAATGCTGCCCAGCTGACAGCAGAATGTGCCATCGTGACGTTGGTGAGTACCCTGTGGTATCATTCGTATTGGCAGTGAAGCTCAAAGCAAGGACCGGTTATAAGTACCTATTGCGAAGTATAACCCTTTTCAAATTTTAAGTACGGTACTACTAGCGGACCATAATTTGCAACACCAGAGAGTATGAGCGCTCTGTGTAGGTCTTTTATTTGGTCATGTTTTTGTTTGAGCAGTAAAAAGCATGTCTTTCTCTGCAACGTTTTGGATCAAGGATGCAGAGGTTTATAGCCTGAGCAATTTTCGCAGATCTCCGCAGTTATTTAAAATGAAGAAAAAGAGATTATCTGTTTGGTTAAAGCTGTAACTGCATTATACCTGAGATGCAGGTGTGATATATGTTAGGGACAGCTAAGCATCCTTTTGAGACTGATTTAATCGGTACCATGACATTTGGTAATACTCTTTTGACAGCAGAACCCACTCAAAAAAACGGGGAAAGTTACGTTTTGTTTTTTTTTGTTTGTTTTTTAAATGCAGAAAATCTTATATTCTTATAATTATCTGCACAGAATACATTTTATCAGTAAAACCAATTTCCTGTGCATTATGCAGACTCCTGCTGGGATCCGAGTTTCACATACATTTATAATATCCAGAGGCATTATCGAATTCTGGCAGTCATCTTCCGCACCGAGGCATTGGAGCCATTTAAGAAGGATTATAAAATGCAAATAGTGCTATGATCTTAAAGGTGCACTGCATGGAGTAGATATTAGGCATACACCACATCTAATTAGGAAAGGAAATTTCCCTAAGCACACGCAGGGTCAGAGAATCACATATCTTAATGCCAAATCACCACGGAAATAATATTGCTTAAAAACATAAAAAACAAACCTAAAGATTATCTAGCCTTATGAAAATTAAACATTAATTTGGGGGATTATTGTAAAAAAATATATTTTATACTCCACGATATTCCAGAACTAAATAGGTAGTTTATACCCGACAATTCCAATACCCACTAACAAGCTGACCTGGGTCTAGACTGACTGATTATGTTAGTGTTTTAGAAATTGTTACCTTTATGCATTTTATATGGTACACTGCGTATATTCTAAATTAATGTGAAACCTTTTTTTTTTTAATCATTCTTCAAATTTTAAACGGAATGTAAAATAGCTTTAGTGCTATATGGTTTAAAATGCATATTCATTTTTTTTTTTTTTTTTAAACGCTGCGTTTAACCGCTAGAGATGTGTTGACCGTATAAGTGGTCAAAGTAGTGGATGTCGCGCAGTTGGCTTTTTTTTTTTTTTTTTTAAATGTATTTTATTTATTATAATTCACTATTTTCCATAACCTTCACATATTATGCCGTTTGCTACACTGGAATAACTAGCCTTTTTTTAAGCTTACACTTTGACAAAGCCAAGAGCAAGTAATCGGACAAGTGAGCTAAAACAAGCTGAGCTCACCAAAGAACAAGTTGTGCGAGGAGTTGTCCATATTCAGTATTTTCTTTTCAATCTGTCTGTTTTGGCTTGCTTTACTAAAGCATGATCAAACTTTCAGTCTACTGGATTGTTCGGTTCTTGTAGTGTGTTCCAATTTGTTCCTCAAAAGAGAGAAGGCGCTTTAAGAATTTGCAGATTCCATATTATTTTATATTCTGGAAGAACACCTAGGTAAAGATAATCAGAGAAATGTAAAAGTTGGTTTGTTTGATAGTGGGTTCCATCAAGTTCTTTGGTTATATCGTCACACTTAAAACTATAAACTCGTAGAAAGAAAGATTTTCCAGGTTCCTTACTTTATTGGCCTCCATTAAATGTGAATGTTACATTGTTAGGGCCTTGAGTTTGTATTTAGTCTCTCCTTATTTTGTATGATAGGCATTCAGGGATCTGTCACTTTCTGGGGTCACTCGGGATGGAAGAAAAGTCACTGTGTGGGTCCTGAGATTCCTCTTGTGTTTTGGTCACCCTGTAACCATTATTGGTGCAGGGTATGTTGAATGTATTGCTTGTCTGTGCCTCTCCCACTGCCCCTTTTTCCTGTCCTATTGTTTCCCCAGCAGGGCATTGTCCCAGGGACACTGCCAGACCAGTTTAAGCTTGCTACCCTGTCCCTCCTCAATCTCCCATCAGCCCTTGCTATTGTCTGACACCACCCTTCCTTGTACTATAGTACTCTATGCACCCTATTGTATGTAAATGAAACTGTTGGGGTCCTAAAATATGTGTGCTATGTCTATTAAAGTTTAGTTGTTGTTGTTGTTGTTGTTTTAACCTTCACCAAGTGTCGTCTGGTGTTTGGTCCAGGGTGGAAAAGGCTCTCCGTGATCCCAGTCAAGCCTCAGCGACTGGGTCTGAAGTGCTCCAGGGTCCCTGATATCTATTTAGAAGCAGACTTAGTGGAGGTACTTGGTCGGAGTACTGGAGCTCTGTCACAATTACATATTTTGCAAAGAGTCCCATAGGTGGCATAACCAGTTAGGGTCTGAAGGACACTGGTAACAGTGGGACCCTAGGTTACCGTAAACTGTCTTTAACGGTGACCACAGTCTTTTTCGGCTCCTGGTGCTTCATTTGCCAGAAGCCACGTCCGTGCTATACTTTCATGCATGTGCAAGAACACAATAAGGAGGTCTATGCAGGACAGACGTCTCACCATGAGCAAGACAGTGCCTGAATCCCACACCTGTCATTTGGATTGGACAAAAGTTGATGGTGGAGCCCTGCTTTTTGTCCATAAGACAAAGTAGTCCCCATTTTATCTTAAAGTATTTTAGGATTAAGTTTTAATGAAATTCCAATTCAGTTAGCATAAGGATTTCATAAAGATTATACGAAATGACAGTCACTTTTAATCACTTTTGCTGTGCCACTTGGAAATTATCAATGCCACACACTTTTTTTTTTTTTTTTTTCCTTATAAGGTCTGCTTAAAGGACCACTATAGTGCCAGGAAAACATACTCGTTTTCCTGGCACTGTAGTGCCCTGTGGGTGCCCCTACCCTCAGGGACCCCCTCCCGCAGGGCTCTGGGGGGAGGAAGGGGTTAAACTTACCTCTTTCTCCAGCGCCGGGCGGGGAGCTCTCCTCCTCCCCTCCTCCCTCTTCTTCCGTCAGCGGCTGCGCATGCGCGGCAAGAGCCGCGCGCGCGCATTCAGCCAGTCCATAGGAAAGCATTCACAATGCTTTCCTATGGACGCTGGCGTCTTCTCACTGTGAAAATCACAGTGAGAAGCGGAAGCGCCTCTAGCGGCTGTCAATGAGACAGCCACTAGAGGCTGGATTAACCCTATTATAAACATAGCAGTTTCTCTGAAACTGCTATGTTTATAAAAAAAAAAAAAAAAGGGTGGAACCTAGCTGGACCAGGCACCCAGATCACTTCATTAAGCTGAAGTGGTCTGGGTGCCTATAGTCATCCTTTAAAGCCAGGTGTTTTCAAAGCACCCTTAGTGTTTTTACTTTTTTCTCTTTCATTGCCTAATGTACATTTATTGCTATTTCTCTAGCAACAGTGCGTAAATATACTTACGGAACCATCTGGTACAGAAAATCTAAATGATCCAGGAATTAAGATTCTCAAGTTTTTTTGTTTTGTTTTTTAATGTAAAGCAAATCATAGCACGTAGATTGTAATCATTTTAAAAAGAAAGAAACAAAACCGGTTTCTAAGAGTGTGATGAAATTATATAATTTTTGTGTGAGGGGAAATTTGCAAAAATGTTTTGAAAAATATAATTTGCCTGATTAAATCTGTTCATATGTAAATCTAGATTAAAATTGCTCAAACAGTGAAGACAAATGTTGGTATTCGTTAGGGATCGACAGATATTGATTTTTTTAGAGCCAAATCCGATAATCTGTGATCTTTCAGGCCGATAGCCGATATTCTGTACATTTACCATTTTGAAAAAATAAACTCTTTCTAAAGGTAAATGCACAAAATATACATGCCACATGTAGTGGATGCAGTGTGTATTTGTGTAGTGTGTGTTTGTGTGGTGTGTGCATATAATGAATGCAGAGTGTGTGTGCTTGTGTAGGTATGTAATTTGTGGGGGGATTTAAAAAAAAAAAAATATATATATATATATATATATATATATAATAATTTTTTTTTTAATATTTACTTTTTTTTTTTTTTTTAGTCTCACCTCCCTGCTCGTTACTTGGCCAGGGAGGGGGAGTATGGCATTCCCTGGTGGTCCGGTGGAATGGACTCTGCAGTGGGGGCTCAGCAAGCTCTTGCCTTCCCAGCAGCTCCCCTGTGTAAATCTTACACAGGTAATCTGTGGCAACGCTCTGACTGCCGCGGGACTCGCAAGATTTACACAGGGGAGCTGAAGGGAGCTGCTGGGAAGGTAAGTAAGAGCTTGCTGCGGGCCCTCCAGGACCGCCGGGCTTGTAATGGGCCCGGCGGTCCTGGTATGTATTATCGGCAATATCGAAATCTCTATTTGCCGATACCGATATTGCCGAAAATACAGAATATCGGCTGATAATATCGGTTAGACCGATAATCAGTCGATCTCTAGTATTCGTGTTGTATTAACATGTAAAGCATTGTCCTAATTACTCTGCTTGTGTAAGAGTCACTGACAAAGGACAGACAAAAGCATAAAAAACACTCCAAGCACCATAACCACTACAGCTCACTCTCTCTCCTATTGTAAGTAGTCGAACTGTTTGACTGATTACCTGGAGTCTGCTGGGAGCCGCTCCATATCTCTACTACACAGGTTAGCTCAGTTTCTGGCTAGAAGGTAGAAAGTCCTGGCTCTCTTGCATTAGCAGTGAAGGCGGGGAATGGCAGTCGGACGGACTTGATATAAATAATGTGTAGTGTAAGTTCTGCCTTATCAAGTTTTATGAAGAGGAGGTGTAAGAAGTTGTTGTCAAACCGCTTCCAAAGTTTAACTAAAATTGTGAATACTCCCATAGCTTGTTTGCGCCATAACTACTGCACTGAACTGTAGTGGTATGGTGCTTCGAACTCTCCGTTAAAGTTTTGACATTAATAAATAGTTGTTTGTTTTTTACTTCTTCTTTTCTGATTCATGGTCAGATCTAAACAAACATCAATGAACAAGTTGTTATAGCTTGTTATTTAAAGAATCATTAATATGTGGGGAATTGTTATTCCTTTTGAAAATAATACGTACAGAAAATCTAACAATATATCTAATTTCTAAGGCTGTGCGTTGGATCACATAACGCTACATGTATATTATATGTGGTTTAAAGAAGCAAACGAGTTTTCTTTTCTTTCTTTTTTTTTTTTTTAAAGATCCAGCCATAAGGAAAAATTTAAAACTTGAACGGTTTATATGCTTAAAATGTGCTCCATCTCTCCTTACAGTTATTTCTACTAGAGAAATTCTTTCTCAAATGGAACAGAAAACAATATACAATATATGTGGCTGCAATAAATGACATTGAGTTAAATTATGTTTGGCCAGAATGCAGATACAATGTATCTGCTCAAACGAAGGTTATGTCAAATCATGCCACTGTAATGTACATATTTTCGTTCAAACGGCTTTTATTTGTGTCATTGAAAATGTACAACAGTGCGATGGGATAGCAAAATAGGAGACATGTAGGTCTGCAAAATCGGGAACAGCAATATGATTATAAATGAATGTAAACCTAAACAATATTAACAGTTAGATGGTATTACAGTATCAGTATCGGTAAACTCATCATGTTACATGCATTCAATATGCAGACGTCTGCATCCTATGGTCGTACATTAACGGGTGAGTGTGTCACCTCTGGGTGAGCCAGGTAGTGACTGTGTAGTACGTGGCCAAGATTCGCCTGTTATCATAATGATTGCATATAGCCTAGGAGTATCTTGTAGGCGAGTAGGGACCACTATAGCGTCTGTGGTATAGCTAACCTGAAAGTTTAATTCGTCATCCCATACAATATTAATAGTGGTCTTGCTACTGCCCACTAATATAGACTGACATTGGGTCTTATTTCCTTTGACCGCACACACACCGCGCGCAGGCCCTGTTTTGTCGTACGGGTGGTATAATCAGTTGGGTCAGTCTATATTCGTGGGCAGTAGCGAGTTAGCAGAGCATCCGTATAACACCTGAGGCCCAAGCCTGCCATACCCTCCTGTTTGGCTGCGGTTGAGACTAGTGCGCACGGTCAGTGAGGTCAGACTCTTGCGCGAGGGCAGGGAAAGAGAACAAGTGGTGTAGAAAGAAGAACACGAAGACAGGAGAGGATGGGGAAGAGAGTGGAAAGATAAGAGAGAAAAAAAAGGGGGGGGATCTCGAGGAGCACCTGCGTTGTTCCCGTGGTATTCTTGGATCCGTGGTGTTCCGTGCAGTTTGGTGTTACCAGCCCCGGCCCCCACACCCTGCTGCGCCACGTAGGCCAGCCACGGCCGCCACCTCTCAACATGCTTCTCCTCCATACCTATCAACGAGGAGTGTATCGCTTCCGCCCTGTATATCTCCTCCACCTGTTCCATCCATAGTCAAATCGTCGGGGTTACATCTTGCTTCCAATGCAGCGGAATCAAAGCCATGGCGGCATACAGCAGGTGTCGGAGTATGGATTTTATATACACCCCGATGGTGTCTGTTGTAGAGTGTAGGAAAGCTGTCTCTCTGTCGAATCTGCCGTCTGTCCCCAGTATTTCCTCTGTTCGTCGTTTGACATCGTCCCAAAACAGTGTGATGCGTGGGCATTCCCACCAGATATGTAAGATCGTTCCTCGTCCCTCTCCGCATCTCCAGCATGTGTCGGGTACCGCCGGGAAGATTCTGTGCAGGCTGTTGGGTGTTCTGTACCAGAACGATAGGAGCTTATAATTGGTTTCCTGATAGTTGGAGCTAGAGGAGCATTTGTGATGTAGGACCAGGATCTTTTCCCATAGAGTTGCGGTGAATGATGTACCTAGAATGCGTTCCCAGCGTCAGCAAAAGGTGTCCGCCTTCTCCAGGTGACCTACAAGGAGGTGTGGTTAAATGAGGGATGTTGACTTGGCTAGGTTGGTCCTTCGGTCACAGAGTGCCTCAAACCACGTCACGTCCCTATGTAGGGCTTCTCTGTGCGATCGGGTTTGGTAGAAATATTTAATTTGTGTGTAGCGGAAGATTTGCATTGTGGATGGTTGGTTGTTGTCTATCAATTCCCGTAGTGGTAGTAGGCCTGTGTTATTCAGCATCTTATAGATGGGGAGGGATTCTCCCCCGCCTGTGGAGAGTAGTAGGCGGTTGTCTTTCGACCACTTCACCATGTGTTGGATGGATTGGACACTAAGCGTGCTATCCCTGGCCTCGCGTCCGGGTATGAATCCCGTCTGATCCGGGTGGAACAGTTTCAGCAGTAGGCCTCCGACCCTGGTGGATAATATCTTGGTCAGTAGTTTTACATCCACATCGAGTGGGGAGGTCTGTCTATAGCTGCTGCATAGTTCGGGGTCTTTCCCTGGTTTCGGGAGAACCGTGATTGTAGCCGCAAGTGACTCTTGGTGGAACTGAGCGTCCTCTATGAAAGCGTTGAATGCATTGAATGCATTGGTAAGTTTTGGGATTAAGATGTGTTGGAATTTCTTATAATATTCTAGGGTGAAGTCCTCTGGGCCTGGCGCTTGACCTGTTTTAGCTGCTTTGATCGCTTCCGCCACCTCCACCTCCGCCTCTGTTATCGGTACCTCCAAGTCCTCCGATTCCCCTCGTTGCAGTGTCACCCCCACATAGGTTTCAATGTGGTTCCGCATTTTTTCGTTCCTATCTGCTATCTCATTTGGTTAATGTACATATTTTCAACAAGTTGCTACCATGGAGGGGAGCTAGGCAACCATAGTCGAGTGGCTTAAGAATTTATATGTATCTACATCTGACAGTCCTAATCTAACCAGTGAGAGAACCATTCATTGGTTCCCCCCATTTTTTAAATTTTTTTATTTTTAACTTTTGCCATTCAGTTTAATCCAGGGCTGTCAAACCTGCGGCCCCCCAGATGTTGCTGAACTACAACTCCCATGATTCTTTCAAATAAAAAGACAGACAGGGAATCGTGGGAGTTGTAGTTCAGCAACATCTGGGGAGCTGCAGGTTGGACAGCCCTGGTAATCAATGACTGTAATCAATGACTGTTCCTTGTGTCATAATCTTTTAATGAAAATGTTCCTACAGTAGTAATATATTAGTCTCCGATTTCCTTACACTGCTCCTGCTCCATTTAAATTGTATGTGATCCATTTTCATGGTGGCGTTTAATTTAATGCAGCCTGTGTCAGTCGCATTACCTCACTCTGCACTTCAGAGGAGGGAGGAAAGTCTTCTTAATTTATTGAAGCAGACGAGCACTTAGGACAGACACCATGACCATCTGCAAGTCACATTCAGCCAGAGTCACAACAAGGATTTCATGAAATATGAGTGAACGTTTTAAGGCAGAGTTAGTGTATTTCTATTAATCGGTTTGCACAGATCTGTCTGTCTATATACTCAGAAATTGTGGCATGCTGTATCTCTGCTTCGATGAGCATATAATTAACCCCTTAAAGGGACACTATTGGCTCCCAGACCATTTCATTGCCCTCAATGCTTTACTATGGGGGGGAGGGGGAGAATGCGCAGGCAGAGGGACACTGTAGTGTTAGTGTAAGAAATACAAAAGTATATTCCTATCTGTTGTATAGTGGCATCATTTCATCGTAACATTAACACATGGACAGCTGGCCTGCATGGCGACATTTCATGGTGAGAGGGCAGTGGCTATGGGGTGCAAATTGGAACGAGGGTTAAAATACTTAAAATCCCTTTAGCTGTTAAAATACTTTAAGCCGTTTGATTGCCAGAAGATATGCATAATAACCCTGCTTTCTACCTAAACAAACTATTATTATTATTATAATTATATTATTTATATAGCGCCATCAGATTCCGTAGCGCTGTACAAAGGGTGGACTAACAGACATTTAATTGTAACCAGACAACTTGACGTACAGGAACAGAGAGGTGGAGGGACCTGCTCAATGAGCTTACATTCTAGAGGAATGTATTAACTTGACTAACTAATTCTTTGTTAATCTAAACCTGCATTTACCAAGGAATCCACACTCTTTTGGGTATATGGGATTAACTTGATGGAAAATGTTTACATTACATAGACTGAAAAGAGACACGTGTCCATCAAGTTCAGCACTCCTTACATTTGTGTTTTGCTGTTGATCCAAAACATTAAATATGTTTGTATTGTTTGGGAGGTCACTAGATTGAATTTATTTGTTTTCTACCAGGTATACCTAGAAAGGCTCTTGACGTATGCAGAGATTGACATATGTCCTGCTAACTGGAAACGGATCGTGTTGGGAGCGATTCTCCTTGCATCCAAGGTTTGGGATGACCAGGCCGTGTGGAATGTGGACTATTGCCAGATTCTAAAAGACATTTCAGTGGAAGACATGTGAGTTGTGTTTTGTATTATATTGGAAATACAGTTTTGATTTCCTTGTGTCACGATTACTACATGACCCAACACACAGAACTATGTAAAACACAATGAACAAGGAAACGTATACCAGGCCTTAGAATGGCTTGACTTAACGTAAATAAAGAATGGTCAAAATACTAGCCGAGGTCAGGGGCACCGAAAGAGACACAACAAGGAAACAAGCCAAAAGTCAGATACCAGCAATACGGGAAAATCAAAATACAAGCCAAAGTCAAATACCAATAGGAACGCACTCTCTGTTAACCAATTAGTGGAAACCACGACAGGGCATGGACCAAATGCTATTTTGAGTTTAAATAACCCTTCTAAGGCTATGATTGGTAGTAAATTGGTTTAATTTCATCAGCAGTTTATCTTTCCAAGTTGTGGACGTTTTAGCATTGACCACTTCTAAGACCATATGGAGGTGGCCATCTTGGGACTACATCATACATTGTGCTTAAAGTATCTAGCAGCTGATACTATGAGGTCCACTAGAACCTTAACTTCACTTAACTGATTTCCTCCCAGCATCCAATCCAGGAATAAGAAAAAGATTTCCAGTTCACAAGAAACTATTAAAATTTTTAAAGAATATTGCTTAACATATGAAGGCGTTAACACAAGCTATAGGCAATTTTTAGAGTGCTATAATATAGATCAAGGACATTTTCTGATAACAAATTGGCAAGAAAATGGCTTTGTGGCCAAGGAATGATGACAGCACACACAATTTTTAAAGACCTGTGCCAATATCACTATTTTATCAGAGAAGAAAAGCATAATTCTTCCAGGGCTGATGACATTTATTGTTCATTATTGAGCATTTGCAGGCTTGTATGTGGTGTTTATACAGAACCCGATCTATATCATCCTTCAGGCATGAAAATAGATTACACTAAACTACATTCAACACAATGTTATTTACGGTCTCAGTGAGTAATAACCGCCTTTCCTTTTAAACACATCAAACAGTATGATGATTTGCAGACCGAGGCTCCCAAATGGTTGTATGTTATTGTTTTCCTTTTCTATAGAACATCCTATCTACACACTGTGAGGTGTGAAAATTAAAAGAACACACCGAAATCAACACCACTTTTTTTTTTTTTTTTTTCCTTTCTCCTGGGTCTCTCTATCTTGGCTCTCTCTCAAATATTGGTATAATCTCTGTCCTTTTTCACCTAGCAGTCAGCATAGAGAAATTAGAGAAGAGGAAACCAGAAAAGTAAGCAAAACCTTACATCACATAACAAAAAAATAACACTAGTTATAGGTGGTCGTTGGCTTTCGTTTCAGTAGCATAATGTCCGAAGAAGTGACAGGAACCCTTTAAAGTATCTTCTTGCCAAGAGTAATGAGTTGCAGTAGACTTACTGTGTTACTTCTCTTAGATGACCGTTTCCTTCCAAACTAATTACATTAAATGTGTTCTTCCTTTATGTAGGAATGAGCTGGAGCGTCAGTTCTTGGAATTACTGCAATTCAACATTAACGTTCCTTCCAGTGTGTATGCCAAGTATTACTTTGATTTACGGTCACTGGCAGAGGGCAATAATCTGAGCTTTCCGCTGGAGCCTCTAAACCGGGATCGGGCGTGCAAACTTGAGGTTAGATTTCTATGTTATGTATTTTTATTTTTAATTGCATGTTTTTCTTTTCTTCCCTTTTGGTTTATTCCGTATTTGAGTCCATTTTCCTGGAATTGTATTTGTTTTGTATTAGAATTGCATGGAGAGTGCATGCACTCTTGTTACATGGACCCAGTAATGATATCAGTTATAAGGCTTGTCTGCCATAAATATTGTAACTACAGTTGCAAGAAAAAGTATGTGAACCCTTTGGAATGATATGGATTTCTGCACAAATTGGTCAGAAAATGTGATCTGATCATCATCAAAGTCACAACAATAGACAATCACAGTCTGCTTAAACTAATAACAAAGAATGAAATGTTGCCATGTTTTTATTGAACACACCATGTAAACATTCACAGTGCAGGTGAAAAAGTATGTGAACCCTTGGATTTAAAAACTGGTTGAACCTCCGTTGGCAGCAATAACTTCAACCAAACGTTTCCTGTAGTTGTAGATCAGATGTGCACAACGGTCAGGAGTAATTCTTGACCATTTCTCTTTACAGAAATATTTCAGTTCAGCAGTATTCTTGGGATGTCTGGTGTGAATCGCTTTCTTGAGGTCATGCCACAGCATCTCAATCGGGTTGAGGCCACTTCAGAAGGCGTATTTTCTTCTGTTTAAGCCATTCTGTTTTTGATTTACTTCTATGCTTTGGGTCATTGTCTTGTTGCAACACCCGTCTTCTGTTGAGCTTCAGCTGGTAGACAGATGGCCTTAAGTTCTTCTGCAAAATGTCTTGATAAACTTGGGAATTCATTTTTCTTTCGATGATAGCAATCCGTCCAGGCCCTGACGCAGCAAAGCAGCCCCAAACCATGATGCCCCCACCACCATACTTCACAGTTGGGATGAGGTTTTGATGTTGGTGTGCTGTGCCTTTTTTTCGCCACACATAGTGTTGTGTGTTTCTTCCAAACAACTCAACTTTGGTTTCATCTGTCCACAGAATATTTTGCCAGTACTGCTGTGGAACATCCAGGTGCTCTTGTGCAAACTGTAAATGTGCAGCAATGTTTTGTTTGGACAGCAGTGGCTTCCTCTGTGGTATCCTCCCATGAAATCCATTCTTGTTTAGTGTTTTACGTATTGTAGATTCGCTAACAGGGATGTTAGCATTTGCCAGTGACTTTTGTAAGTCTTTAGCTGACACTCTAGGATTCTTCTTCACCTCATTGAGCAGTCTGCGCTGTGCTCTTGCAGTCATCTTTACAGGACGCCACTCCTAGGGAGAGTAGCAGCAGTGCTGAACTTTCTCCATTTATAGACAATTTGTCTTACCGTGGACTGATGAACAGCAAGGCTTTTGGAGATACTTTTATAACCCTTTCCAGCTTTATGCAAGTCAGCAATTCTTAATCGTAGGTCTTCTGAGAGCTCTTTTGTGCGAGGCATCATTCACATCAGGCAATGCTTCTTGTGAAAAGCAAACCCAGAACTGGTGTGTGTTTTTATAGGGCAGGGCAGCTGTAACCAACACCTCCAATCTCATCTCATTGATTGGACTCCACTTGGCTGACATCTCACTCCAATTAGCTCTTGGAGATGTCATTAGTCTAGGGGTTCACATACTTTTTCCATCTGCACTGTGAATGTTTACATGGTGTGTTCAATAAAAACATGGCAACATTTCATTCTTTGTGTGTTATTAGTTTAATCAGACTGTGATTGTCTATTGTTGAGACTTAGATGATGATCAGATCACATTTTATGACCAATTTGTGCAGAAATCCATTTCATTCCAAAGGGTTCATATACTTTTTCTTGCAACTGTATGTCAGGTAAACCAAAGGAAATGTGGCCTTAAATAAAATCTGTAGCAAAAATCACAGATTGGGCAAAATTTGTTTGTGCACTTTCTGTGTGCAATGTGGCATTTAGAGTTAGTCATTTTTTATTTTAGTTTATTTTTGCCACAGAGTATAAGACTGCATTTCTTCCGCTCAATTTTAACGGATCTCTCAAAATTTTCTTTGAATTTTCAATGTAGCCTATGCAACAATTGAGTGAGAAACCCAATGCAATCTCCGGCACCTCATAGAATTGTTAATTTCAATACCCATGTCTTATCCCATTGTGCACAGCAAGTGTGCCAAGGTTTATATATCACAGGTACATGTTTAATATATGTATCTCACTATGCTGTTTCTTGCTTTATTTGCCATAGAATATGCTGTGCCCAGCAAGTGTGGCATAGCATAAAATGAATAGCCAACATGTCTCAAAATGCACAAACATTGATGTAATTTAAATGCAGTTTGATGAACAAACTCCCGTCACAGATTTGGCATGGAATGATGCAATCTTCTGTCAAAAATGCATGACTTGACAACATAAACTCTAAATCGCATTTACTCAAATCCACAAATTTGATTCTTTTTGCTACATAGACCGATTTGACTACTTGTAGGTTGTTTGAGATGTCTTTATCCATGCATTTCTGTGCACTAAATAGCTTCTGTTAATTTTTTATTGATTTGCATTTAATAAATACATAGATAAACACTTTTGAATTTCTTGATATTTTATTTTAGAGTCCTCTTGCATAGTTTCCTTAAATCCTTTGGTTAACAACCCCAATAGCATATATAATGTTGCAAAATTCTGTATCATCGGCATTTAAAGTGCTGGTCCCAGGTCTAAATCACCATCAATCACTTTTCTTTTAAAATATTCGGGGTTATTGCTGCTGTGAAATTTCTATTTTTAGAACAACAACAACTTTGATGGCATTTGCCCCGTATTTAGAATTCCACAATTTACATTTTTATAAAAAAATACTATTCAATTAGTGACAAGTAGAATGACTGTATTAAGGAATAACTTTTTTTTTTTTTTTTTTTTACTTTTATTTCTCTCTCAGGCCATTTCTCGCTTGTGTGAGGATAAATACAAGGACTTCCGAAAATCAGCCAAGAGACGTTCTGTGAGCCTTGATAACCTGACTGTGGTTCGATGGTCCCCGGCCATCCTATCTTAACAGTGACTTCTGCCGGACCCTTCAAAGACTCCTATACTGTTTTGTCCAAATGTTCTTTTGTCTTGGGGAAAGAAGACATGTTTTTTGAACTATTTGAAATCCTCCTTCACAGTGCCTCCCTGTCACAAGGATGGGAAATATCAGTCACTTTTTGGAATCGTTATTTGAACCATTTTCCCCTCCCATTGCTTCCCTAATAAATCATACTGGGAATAATAAAGCAATGCATTAGATATATTAAAAAAACAGGTGCAGAATGTGAGATGTCCCATATATATATTGGAATATATCGGCCATCTGGCTTTGAAAAAGGTGGTGTATTATTTGTATTAAAAATTCAAGATGCCACTTTACCAATTTTTTTTTTTTTTTTGATGAATTATTTTCTAAGCTCAACTACGTGCTACTTGCTCTTTCTCATTATGCCATCCTGATTTTGAATCAATTTGTTGGAAACCACCCAGACCAGGATTGCACATGTGGGATCTTGTTTCAATGAATAAAGTTCTCAAGAACCTCCAAAAACAATGGATCTACAAGTTTTTAAGAGTTAAACAAATGAAGTATTTTCTTTCTTTTGCCATTAATTTAATTTTTTTGTTTTTGTTTATTTAACTCCAAGTTAATGGAATTTGTCTTGCGAGGAGTCCAATGGAAAAGCGTCAAGTTGTTGCTGTTGGATTGGTCTGGAAACTTATCTTTTATTTCCTGTCCGCAAATGAACACAATTCAGCACCATTGTGAATCTTTGGCTTACAAGACCTGGAAGGGGCCATAAAGTCAGATAACCCCAGACTTTAAATTTCTTCACTATTTTTCATTACTCCAACTATAGCGCTGAACCAAAAGTGCATTTTGAAAGTCATGAGTCATTCCTGAACGTTTACAGACTTTGCATTTTAAATAATAATGTGGTGTATGCGTGATGTTGTATGCAAGCGTGGGTCATTCCGTTTGCCCATTCTTGGCTGTTTGGTACCCCCCAGAAAAGGGCATGGAGTAATTCCCCCTCCTTACAAATTTGTATTTAAACTTTATGGAGCCAGATGCCAAGAGGTGACAACATTGCAGTTTATTGGTTTTTAATGTAAAAAGTTATGAATTTTGTATTGATTAGATTTTATATCTCCCAATGAGATCATTCCTTTGCAACCTGGACCATTTTTGCAAGCAATATTCTCAGACTTTATATGTTATTCTTTAACACAGTGTAAATCTGTTTGTATATGTATATACAATATATGTAAAAAAACAAACAAAAAGAAAAACACAAAAAAAATTATTTTTCCAGCTTCGCCAGTTCATAACTCCTATGGAAATTAGGATCCTGTGAATGCACATGGTTTATTATATTCATTTGACGACGAGTGGTGGATTATTTATGATGTATAGAGTTCAGTAATTAATGGGACTCCTAATTAATGTCCCCTAAGTATTGCACACTTTTATGAATGTGGGGGTTTTAATAATTAAAATGTGATCTTTTTCAGTGTTGAATTTGGGCGGTCTTTGCACCAATACCCTCTCCTAGATTAGGGCATGCACACGTATGATGTACAATTGGCTTGTGGATATTACAAATAAATCTACTCAGGTCTTTGGAACAGACTATTGCCGTGATGGCTAACCTTGACACCATAAATTGTTTCTGGACTACATTTCCCATGATGCTCAGGTCGCTTTTAGACTCTAAAAGCTAGCTGAGCATCATGGGAAATGTAGCCAGAAATGTTGGTGTCCAGGTTAGCCATCACTGGTCTATTGATTTGCAAAATGTAGGTCAATACTCCAGAGTTGCAAGAAAGACTAACACTTCTTTTTTTTTTTAGCCTAATTTTGACCAGTCGGTTCCAGGCTCATTGTATTTCACTGTTTAATTAATAAATCCCTCAGCCATACATTACACCAAAGGCGGTTGTTGGATATATAAAATATCAACCTTAACCTATGAATGCCAATATGGGGGTTAGTAATACGTTTAAGAAGGGTTAAAATTTTTCAGGCCTAAAAGTGAGTCACGACTGCAAGCCTGGAAGGCCAATGGCACACTCCTCAGATGTGAATTTTTCACTTGCTGATGGTGAGTGGAAATTTTGAGCCCTGAAATTAAGAATGCATTCCTCGTCAACCTGAATGGGTTATAAACCAGATTACCCCATTGCAGCCATGTTGATAAAGAGCCAGAGAACGTTTTCAGGGCTAATTTATAATTCAGGATTTTTGGTGTTAAGTGTATCCACATCAGACGTAGGGCTTTTCCTTTGCTATGTAACCCATAATAGACATATAGTGCTAGTCTTCTCTAATATCCAAGATGTGTCAACGTTTGTGTAATTGTGTAGAGCAGGGCTTAAAATATCAAGTCTCAAACAACTTGGTAGGCTTTAAATAATTTGCCACGGCAAGTCTTGGACGATCTGTGTCATATTCGCCATTGATTATTTTTTATTGGCTAATGGCGAGAAGAAATTTTAAGCTCTGATAGAGTGGTATTTCTGTTGGCCGTATAGTGCTAATGCGGATACTTGGTTTTATTGGCCTTTGCACGGCACATTCCTAAAATATTGTACAAATCTCAGCCTATATTCTGGCACTATGGCTTGTCTCACAGATGGAGTGCTTTTTAAATTATATTTAAAGGGACTCTCTAGCCTGGCGAAAATTCCCAATGTTACCGCACTGTATAGGTAACACATAACAAAATTCATTGATATGATTAAAAAAAGGAATTCACTCCACTCTTGGAATTCTTGCTTTTGCTGAAAGGTTTGAATCTTTCACTTCCTGCTTTCCCCCAACTAATGGCTAAATCCTTGCAGGCAATCTAGGTGCTCCCAGTTTTTAGTACATACATTGTGATTCAGCTGTACAGCCCACTCTTAACTTTATTTATCCTAATGCTATATTGCCCTCTAAATGTTTAGGTGTTTCCCCCCCAAGTCCCCAATTTTATTTACTGATTTACATGGAGAAAAAAAACCCTGAAAATAAATGTTTTCTGGGTAGCCTAAGAAGTTTTGTTTTTTTTTCTCCATATTTTTTAAACAAACAAACAAACTTCTGCTCTGTATTAAACCCTTCAGTCTTCCAGTTCGAAAACTAAAATAATTCCCTATTGTTTTTAGTCCTTAATGGGGAAAAAAAATGCTTCCATTTTTTTAATCCCTAGATATATTTGAAATTGTCGAACATATCTATTTTCTTCCAAGTAATACAGATTATGAAATATTTGTTATATCATCCCTCCAGTAGCCAACACCAAGCATAAAATGCTTATTATTTTTGTTCCTTTGGTATCTATTAGGACGCCATTGAAATAGACAAGCTTGCAGCCACGTGTGAAAAATTTGCAATGCTCAACACAATGTGAAAGCACTTCTATATCCCTCTGAGAATGCAAAGGCCTCGCAAATTGCATGTCGGTTCACGTGTGCCCCCCTATGTTGGAGCGCATACTGTCCATCAGCTTCATACCTACCAGTTTTGGAAATATGGTATTTTTTCAGAGCTTTATTTTACAACCTACTTTGTATGATTTCACAGTTTTTTTTGTTTTGTTTTTTTTTTTGTTCTGGCATCGACTTCCCCAGCTAAATAAAAGCTATGAATCAAACATAAAATAGGCATTTATCAAAAGTAGATGGTAATTTTTGCAATTCAATAAATCGTAATAGTGTAGTAACCCAAGTAATGAAATTAAAATAAATAAACTGAATAAAGTCTAAATGTAATATAAATACTGACCTAATGTAGAAAATACTTTGAAAAATGTACTGTCTCACCAATAGACACACTATAGCATTTCCTTACCTTTGCCTGAAACGAAGTACACAGAAATCCTTATAACTTAAAGCAAGACTCTGTATCGGGGGTAGCCAAATTAAAAATCCTCAGCTTTTACAGAATGTCAATTCCAATGTTGCCTTACCAGTTGTAAGAATTACAAAGCATCTTGGGAGTTGTAGTTCGGTGACGGCTGTGGATCTGCTTCCTGACCACCCCCGCTCTAAAGAATAGTATGTGTATTGTTTTCTTTATTTATAGAGACCAGTGCTAGACATACACAACCTACTCACCACATTAAAATTAGAAAGGAAGTTGTCCTTATCTGTATCCAAAATAAGAATTTGCCGTCATTACTATTGTGGTGTAGCAAAGGATTCTGGGAAGGTATCCAATTTATGCCAGGTTTTTTTGTTACATGAACATACTTGACAGTAGTTAAGGCTTTTCTCAGCTTTTCTGCATTCGTCATATTTTCTTTTTTCCAAGCAGATGTTTATGAACAAAAAAACACTTTTTGAGTTGTTGCATTTTGCACTTTTGTTGTATTGGTCTTTTTTTATTTTTTTAATGGTTATTACATTGGAACATATTTAAATCTGATCAGTGAGTAGAGTAGGTGAACGTTTAAAATATTTAACCACATGTAAAAGTCTCATGGTCTTAAATCCAAGTATTTCTTCTGCAAATCTGTTTCTAGATTTAATAAAGTCTTCTTTGAGGTTGTGTTTTTTTTTTTGTTTTTTTTTAAACCAGGATGACTATTATTAATCTCTATCAATATTTTTGCTGAATATTTAACACAGATTTCAAAAGGCCAGATATATAAAGATGACTTATCTGTATGAAGGAGCACTTGCAAAATTGTCAAACCTGTAAAAATCTTTTTAAGATTGTATAGTCTATAAAATGTATGTACGTACATACATCGGCTGAGACGTAGTGGGTGAACCTTTTTAATTTAGTTTGATCCTCTTCAGACTGTAAAGTGTTAGCCTGCAATGCTGAATTTCCTGTAACTATGACATGGCTGTTATCTAGTGCCAGGTTTTTTGTTATTTTTCTTGTGGTGTGAGTTGCAAGGCAGTTACATGGTCATCCCTTCCATTCCCCTCCTCACCCCCACTGCACTGCCTATGTTCTGCCCACAAAGTATTAAATCTTGATTATTCCAATCTTTATTTTATTTTATTTTTTTTAGTAGGATTTAAAGAGGTACTTTGTGTTTTGTGCCTCGGATGTAATTACAGCCATGCAGGCCTAGTGCAGTGGACTCTACCTCTGTATAACATTTTTATTTTCCTTTTATTCATTAAGAAATAATTCTGTGATTTATATTCCATATGTTTCTTGCACTAAACCATTTAAGATTGAATTGTGATTTATTTTTTTATTTTTTTTAATTAGTATTAATTATAATTTTTTTTATTTTTTTTTTGCAATGAATAGCTTTGTAGGTTTCTGATTTTAAAACAATGGTTATCACTGCTTTTGTTTACAGTTGTTCTAATTTTTGCCAAAAAAACTACAGTAACTGGATTACTTTTGGTGTCTGTAAAGTGTTTTCAAGCTCCATACATTGTCATTAAAGCTGGATTTGTTCAAAAACTGATATCTGTTTTCCTGTAGCAACTATTCAGCAGACATGATGCAGCGAGTAATCTCAACACCTCAATAATGTGACTGATTTTGTTTGAGCTATATATTTATATGCGCTTGCATTCTTCTTTTTTTTTTTATAATCTTGTATGGCTCGACAAGCTTTTCTAAAAGGACACTATAGTTACCAAAACAACTTTAGCTTAATGAACCAGCTTTGGTGTACAGTTTATGCCCCTGCATTTAGGAGTTAAATCACTTTGTTTATGCAGCTCTCGGCACACCTCTCTGCATATGACTTACACAGCTTTCCCAAACACTTCCTGTAAACAGTCATCTAACGTTTAAACTTCCTTTATTGCACATTCTATTTAGATTTTTTTTTCTGCCCTGTTAATAGCCTTCTAGACCTTGCAGGAGCCCTGTTATGTGATTAAAGTTCATTTTACAGAGCAGGAGATAAAAACGTAAGTTAACTTGTGATTGAAAATGAAACCATTTTTGTTCATGCAGGCTGTGTCAGTCACAGTCAGGAGAGGGGTGGCTAGGGCTGCACAAACATAAAAGTGATTTAACTCCTAAATGTCAGAGAATTAAGGGGTCAAACTGCAGGGGATTGATCTATACACCAAAACTGCTTCATTAAATTAAAGTTGTTTTTGTGTCTATATTGTCTCTGTAATGCATTTGCATTACATGACCGCACTGAACTCAAGGATTGGTACATGTGCCAAATAGTGAATGAAGGGATGGGCAATGCAAATGACAAAAGCATGTGCCCAAAATAAATTCTCATTATTGTATACACCTTATTCATCAACTGAAAGATGTACACCAACCGCATTCTTCACTATTGAAAATTCAATTTTAAGGTAAAATACCTGAACTTGAAATATTCTGACCGCTAGCCTTCCAGGTTGGCTAATTTGATCTTTTCACTTTTATTCCCACTTTAGTGAATAACTCTGAGAGTTTGAATTTCACTTAATTAACAGAACTCCAGAGTTCCAATAACTGGTGCCCAGAATAATAAATAATTAACAATACACTGTACCTGTAACAATTAAAGTTTAGCAATAATGAGAATATGTAAAAGGATAGATTATCATTAGAGACTAATGGAGTTGGTTTGAACCAAAGAGAAATTTGTGAAGCTGTGGACCAATCCAAGTTGTCCTGGCCTCACAGAGATGGCTGTGTAAGTTACATGCAGGGAGGTGTGACTATGGCTGTATAAACCGTGATCTAGCTTTTAAGTGAGCAATGAGATTGCAGGGGCATTATCTAGACTCTAAAACAGCTTCATTAAAGGACCACTATAGGCACCCAGACCACTTCTGCTTAATGAGGTGGTCTGGGTGCCTGGTCCAGCTAGGTTTAACCCTTTTTATTCTATAAACATAGCAGTTTCAGAGAAACTGCTATGTTTATATTAGGGTTAATCCAGCCTCTAGTGGCTGTCTCATTGACAGCCGCTAGAGGGCTTCCGCGCTTCCCACTGTGATTTTCACAGTGAGAATATGCCAGTGTCCATAGGAGTTATCCTATGGACTGGCTGAATGTGCGCGCGGCTCTTGCTGCGCATGCGCATTCAGCCGGTGACGGAAGAAGAGGGAGGAGAGGAGGAGGAGGAGAGCTCCCCGCCCGGCGCTGGAGAAAGGGCACAAGGATGTTTTCCTGGCACTATAGTGGTCCTTTAAGCTAAAGTTGTTTTGTTCCACTTGTCCATTTTAAATTCTCACTTTATTGACTACCCTGCCAATGTTTGTTCTTCCCTTGCATTCCTACCTGCTGGAGCCTGGTTTCCACTTCAAAGTGGAAACTCAGCAATCCAGAGAGTGCCATTGACCTCCACTGTACACAGTATGGTTTGAAAAGCAGCAACTTATTGTAAGACTGGCTGCACAGCTGATATCTGCACTCAGCAGATCATCATGCTTTCAGAATAGGTAAACAGCTCTGGACCCTGAAATTCCACACCTTTGGAAAACAGGAAACGAGGGGTGGAATTTCAGGGTCCAGAGCTGCTTACCTATTCTGAAAGCATTTCAGCGAACTGTTGTAAGGAGGAAATAACAGACAAAATAACCCAAAAACAAGTTAATCAGGATTTAATTGATGATGATTTAATTAACAATGAGTATACAGACAGAAAAGTGTAGATTTCAAACAAAGAGTAAGGTTTGTAAGAACTCAGGAGGGATCCTTGCTCCAAGAATAGACCTGCAGAGAAATGAAAACGGTGGCGTTTAAAAAATAAAATAAAAAAATAAATAAAAAATATTAATAATAAAAAAATAATATATTGCATCTTCCATACATATACTAGCTGTTTGGGGGTAAGGTCAGCTACTCGGTCTGTGCATCTGCAGCACCTGTAATGCTAGTCATACTGACGCCCACTGGAAGTGGACTCATCCCTCCACTGTAAACATTGCAGTTTCTCAAAAACTGCAAAGTTTTACACTGCAGAGTTAAGGGGACAGGGACACTGCAAACAAGCCACTTCACTGAGATGAAGTGGTCTGTGTGACAATACTGCTCCTTTAAACATTTCTACAAATGCCCCCTTAAACTGCAATAGCTAAATTTGTATATTTTACATGTGTAATATATATATATATATATATACCCTGTAAGGTCTGACAGTGTTGTGCAGGCACGAGGAATACGTTACATCCAGATCTGCACACACCCTTATTTTAATGACTGCACGCATTGTAGCTTTAATAAATGTATAAATATTGGATAACATGCGCAGCAACATCCAAGAAAATTGCTGGCAGATAATTTTCTGATTTAAAATGCATTCTTATTTCTGGGCTTTGAAATATATATATATATATATATATATTTTATTTTTTTTATTGATGTGAGATTAAGAACTGATCTACGTAAAATTAAAAGTTTTAACTAATATGAAAAGGATATTAAAACGTATAAGCCAGCTGCAGGTAAGAAATAAGAGCTGCTGGATTAACAATGGTAAATATAGCATCAAGCAGCTCTGATTAAGAAATCCTTTCCTCTAGTCAGTGCAGACTAACCAAGTTATTCACTAAAATGATACCTCAAAGTGAATCTAAATTTAAAGGGACACTGTAGTTTAATGTAATGGTTCTAGTGTCTATAGCCTGTCCCTGCAGGTATTTCAATGTAAACACTGCCTTTTAAGAGATAAGACAGTATTTCCATTGCTGTCCAGTAACTCCTCTAGTTACTGTCACTCAGGCAGCCACTAGAGGTGCTTCCTGTTTCAGTGCTGCACTCCCTGCATGGAGACACTGAACACTTTCCATAGAGATGCATTGTTTCATTGCATCTCTATTGGTGCAGCGCTGCGTTTTGACAAGCATGTGCAATAGACTCCCAATGCTTTCCTATGGGAAAGCATTGGATTGGCTGAGATCATCAACATTGATAATCTCAGCCATGAAGAAGGGGCCAGCTGCAGTGAGATTGGCATGGCAAACTACGTTTAACTCCACAGAGAGGGGGGTCGAACATCTAAACATTTATTCCAGCACAGTAGTGTTAGGAATATTTGTTTGTATTCCTTAAACTATAGTGTTCCCTTCAGGTCAAAATAGCCACACTGAAGACAATCTCTAAGTCACCAATGCTTTCATTTCAGCTCCTTAAATTTGAAACTCACTTTTGTGAACTTCACTTTAAGGTACCCCCACTCATCCAAGGTACAACAGAGGGGGTCAGACCTATTCTGTCTGTCTGTCTGTCTGTGTCTCTCTCTCTGTTGCTTTGTCAGTTTTCCAGAAATAGTGTCTGAGATCTAATGTGTTTTATGATCATACAACGAAGGGTAACTAGATATATTTTCAAAACTTCCACTTAACATGAATCATCAATAAAATCATAGTCTGTCATTGTTTTTCAATGTGTTTTCCAGATTGTAATAATTACTTATTTTTTCCAAGAAAGAAATGTTGTAAAATGTTATCCCACAACAGAATCACCTTTGAAAAATGTCTTGCTTAGAAATATTTCCAAATAGTAAAAAAACCTCAAATGACTCCATGAAATGACAGTAGTAGGAGAACCTTGCCTCCCGCTTAGCTCATCTCCCACTTCAAACAGGTTGTGCCCTCTGGGCACTGGCGGAAAGTTGCTGAAATTCCTTAAGGTATTTCTGATAGAGCAACGTCAGCTGTACAGCCAAAGCTTTCCTATAATGTAATTAGAAACTCAACTGCAGACTGAGAGTGCACTTATCATGGACAGAGGCAGAATAAAGTTACTCAAAAAGTGTTGCACTGTTCTCCCAAGGACAAAAAGACAAAATAGAGCATGCTTCCCAGTGACATAGGTAGAATATTGCTTGTTTCCCAGGAAAAGATGTAGTATAGTGCACACTTCATGAGCAGAGAGACACAGAATAGTGCACACTTCACAAGGAGACATACAGAATAGTGCACACTTCGCAAATTGAGATACAGAACAGTGCACACTTCACAAGTTGAGAGACGGAACAGATGCAGAATAGCGCACCATGCAGCAAGATATGATAGTGAAACACTTCAATGTGTCCTTGGTAACACAGCCTTCCTTTTGAAAACACCACGCATTCTAGTAGTGCTAACAGCCGCTGCAAATACTAAATAAGGATAATGTAATCATACCTACTGTTATTTTCCTTTCCTAGATTTTTATCCATGGCAGAATTATCGGTCCAAAACGTGATACAGGGATCGGGATTCAGATCCAGCTTGGAATATGTACTACATGATTCTGGATAGTTTGTCATACATATAAATATGGAATTAA